TCTTTGAGTCTAGTTTAGTGTTTTATATTGTTTTTACGTTTTTAAGTCATTTTAGAAGGTTTTAGCAAGCCCTCCTAATCCCCGGTCTAGAACGATCCCGCACTTATCCATTCTACTACAATTGTCAAACGAGGGTTTAATTTGAGTGTCAAGTAATTCTCGCATCAAGTCACCCCATTGAGGTTGTTCCTCAGTTGGCTAACACACCATGGCCGCCGCCATGGCTGCCACATATTGTGTGTTGTGCCATGCTTCATCTTCTTCATTAGACTCCTCATCTTTTCGTCTCATCTGCGCCCATTTTTCTTCCAATTCAGAATTGGATAAGGACTCCTAATTGGAATTTGAAGAGGATCCAAAGTTGTAATTCATTGTAAACTTGAATTGAAAGAGAATGAATTCAAAGGTGTTGAATTATAGCTCAATATCCATCATATTTATAGCAAAAAAAAAAAAAAAATTTTAAATCCAATGGCTAGTTGAAGTCAATTAGGCGTTGGATTTAAATTTGAATTTTTTTCAGCCAAATTTATATAAAAAAAATTATTAAAAAATTCTCATTTTTCCCTATAAATTTAAGTTGTTGTAGTTTTTAAATTTAATTTGTAGTTTTTAAATTTGAATAATAAATTATGTTTGGCCCTCGGTTGCAGACAGTTTTTTGGCCCTTGGTTGGAGATGGTAAGAAATATGGCCTTACACTGTTCATTAAAATATTAATTTCTTGGATGGCCAAAAGGCTAAAACGAGCCCGCCCTCATTCGGTTGGAGATGGTCTAATAATCTTTCATTGAATATTGTACATATCTTGTCATACTCATTAGCCCCTAAGGCCATCTCCAAGAAATTAATATTTTAATGAACATTGCCAGACCGTATTTCTTATCATCAACCGAGGGGTCAGAGGACCATAGGCCAAACATAGCCTTATGACAAAAAACATCTTCAACCGAGGCAACCAAAGGGCCATAGTGTGATAACCCGTCCCTAATTTTACGATTTTATTAATTTAAAAGAATGAATTGATGAGAATGCCCTAGAGGCGAAGATTTTGACTTCCGTTGATCGTATTTTCATGATGCATACGAGTTACTATTTTGTCATATTCTCAAAGAGGCGCAATCAGAATAAAAATTGGAGTACAGTTAAAATTTTACAAAACATCAAATACCGAAGGTAAATTGGTAATTTCATGTTTAGGGATACTTTGTATTGTTTGTGAGACATGTGGGGTCCACGCCCCATAACTTCACCACTCATGTGACTCCCTCTCTCTTGGGACATCTATCTTTTATTTTCAAATCTCCCCATCTTATTTCTTCCACTAAATGGCTACCACATCACTTTTTCCCTCTAGCTCTCTCTTATTCTCTTTCTTTCATTCTTGCCATGTATTTTCTCTCTTGTATTTCACTCCTCATTTCTCCCTCTTGCCTCCGTTTCACAGAGACCAGCAAACCCAGCTGCTTCGGCGAGACCCCTTGTCACAGTGCCACCACTCCAAGGGCCGGGCCGAACCGGGGATAGCAGATTCTTATATAGGAACCGGACATTACTCGGCTCGGTTGAAACGGGCCAGTTCGGGCCGGGTCCACGGGTCTTTTTTTTTTGTGTTATATATATTATAAATTAAATGAAGAAGGACAAGTTGCTAAAAATCTTGAAGGGAAAGAGTCGAGTATGTCTGAGTCAGTCTCTGAATGTTTCGATTATACTCGGAAGATAATACTTGCCTCACCTGTCCAACTGTCTAAAGATTGTTGTCCTAAAGAAAAACAGAATTCCAAAGCCAAATTAAGAAGGTTGAAGAATTCAAGTCAGAGAATCGTAGGTTATAGAGAAATCATGTTGCATCCACTTTTCCTTTGACACCAAGGATACGACATGAATAAAGGCAAAACAACGGGATGAAAACATTATAAGAACCCACATTTTCATACTTTTTCCTGTGTCTGTCAACCATTGCCTCCAAATGCACAATTTTTCCGCTGACATAGCAATGCGCCAATTCAATGTAGGGTTGCTCGAAAGGGAGTTAAAAAAACCAAATAAAGTCATCGGAGCTGGTAAGTTCAAATGCTGGACTACTATGAAATGCCTGATTATATCAAGATTCAAATAAAGCAATCCATTAAAGAAAATACATGCAGCAAAGAGCAGCACTCAACTTTGCATTACCTAACAATAGTTCTTTAGATTCCTCTGACATACTAAGGAGTTGTATTTAGGGAGACTGGTATAGAACTATCACCATGAAAAGAACAATCATCAAATTATCCTCAAATAAATTTACAGCACAAAAACGCTTTCCTTAGCAATGATGTCAAAAGTGAAATAGCGTCAGAAATTTCCTTAACAACACAAAACCCCCAAAGATTAAAGAATTAAGAAGTGAAGCACGTCAAATGTGTCAAGGTGTTGTGCATTTGTAGATTTGGACAATAAATAAATTCCCATTCAATGCTATACAACAAGTCTGCAAGTTTAAACAATACATTAATTTTCAATTCAAATTTCAAACATTATGGAATACCCAGTAGGTACGGTATGAACATTTGAACCCTAAATCCCTAAATTCCAAATCCCAAATTTCTACGAAGGAAAATTTATGGATTGTGTTTAGGGTGTGAAGAACTGCTCAATAGACTGAGAGATTGTAGAAAACCCTAACTCTCAAATCTAAAAATTGATCAGAGAGAACCAAAGATTGCAGATAACCATAAACCCCTAAATCCAGAAAATTAACCAGCGAGTTAAAATTAAGAGTTTAGAAATTATATTACCTTAATTTGAAAGGAGATGAGATGACGGTGGTGGTCTCAATTCGGAGAAATGATGGTGATGGTGGTTGTTGAAGGTTACAGCCACTGACATTTTGCCAAAAAGAGGGAGATGAGGACGGAATTGAGGGCTGTGGAGTCTGAGATGGCTACTGTCGAGGACACTCATGGTGGTTGTCAAGGGCTGTGAAGTCTGATAGTGGTTGTTGATGGATGGTTACTGTCGATGACTCGACTCGAGCTCGAGTCGTGAATGAATGGAGAACAGGAAACTGAGTCAGTCAGTGAGATGAAAATATGGCAATCAACGGTGGAGAATGGGATTTGACATACATTAAACCATATTCAAGTTTCTAAAGCTAGAAACAGGCCGGGTCGAGGGCTCGTTCCTTCCTATGTTTGAACCCGCCCCGCCCTGCCCCACTAATTTTGGTTACCCGCCCCGTTTTGGTGTTTTGAAATTTTATACCCGCCCCAAACTACGGGTACCCACCCCGACCCGCGGGTACAGAACCCGTTTGCCCACCCCTAATCTCTGGAAGTGCAGAGAAACTATATCACCATCATCCATGCTATTTTGATGAGCGTATCACCATGAACTTGGACTTATCGCGACCACTAACCAAGGATCAACACCATCGAGCATGGAATGTGCACTGTACAGTGGCCGTACCACTATTCACTCATCTCTCCGACCATGGTAAGCTTCAAGACCCTCAAACCTTCCTTATTTCGAAGCTCTTATGTTGTTCTAACCTTAAAAATGGTGATTAGTGACAATTTAATACAGAAAATGACCTGGGAAAAATTTCCTAGATTTCTGGAAATACTAGGACCCATGTCATTTGATAAAATTGGGAATGAGCTTTTTTTCCCAAGAAATCTCGCTTCCTCTCCGTCATCATTAGTCACAACTACCTCCTGAGTCACGGCCTTTGCCTTCCACTTGCAAGCCATTCTGCGTATGGCTCGGGGCTAGTTGGCAGGCTCCTTTGGGCCAGCCGGTTGGCCTGATTCCTTTTTTTTGGCTTGGTAGGGCACACGAGCCCTTTGGCCTAGCCTTCCGTTGGAGACGGTTTTTGTGTCATTTCGGACTATTTTCGGCCATTTGGCCCTCTGGCCGGATAGGTTGGAGATGGCCTAACCTCCCAACTTATTCCTATTTACACTTCTCTTACTTTACCATTTCAACGTGTGATCAAGAAAACACCATCAAAGTTTCAATATTGGTGTATCAATTCATTACTAATTAAATATTAATATTGTTTTGAAAAAAATTGAGATTTCATCGTAAAATTAATTATCAATGCATAGAGTAGTCTAATTAGTTATAAGCACATGCAAAATTCATTGTTCTTCAGATCTGAGATTTAATGAGATTTATGCTCTGAACACAGCCCCTCACGTGGGGTAGGGGGGGGGATTTTAAGTCTAATATGTGGACAATGCAAATCAGGTGATGTGAAACACGTGTGATTATTGAGTTTCACACATGGGTTAACTATTTATAAGCACATGTAATATCCTTTCTTTTCCCAATGTTAAATTCATACTTACAACAATTCTTCTTAACTTAACCATATTTGCAATCCAGTAGAGGTGAGTTTTATACATAATTTTCTGGTGCAATTTGTAGTGGAACCATTAAGTAAGGTTTCAGACGTGAGATTGACATGCTTCAACGAACATTACATTATTTTTTGACATGAGAATTGGTACCTTGATTTCATTTTTCTAGAAACATTAGGTACCATTTCTTCTTATGAGCAAACTACAGTTTGTCATCAAAGCATATAGTTTCTTTCTACTTTTAATGAATTATTTCTAATCTATTAGCCCCTATCACTTGCACGTAAGAATGAATGGTTCCTTCCATTGTTTCATACTAATTAAGATTTATACAGCCGACTTCACTTAATATGATAAGGCTCGATTGTTATTGTTTTGTGCCATTATCTCTTACATTAGGCATGAAATTTTAACAAATTGAGTGTGACATTTGATTTTTATAATTACATAAAGAAAAAGGAAAAGAAGGAAGCAACAGAGACCACACAAAACAAGCCCACTATTAGAACCTTTGTTATATGTTCCAACTTGTAATTGTTTAATGTTACTTAGAAAACAAGGTAAAACTCATCGGTCTGTCAGGAGAAAGCTGAGTGCTATGCCTTTTGTTTTACTGTTCTTGGCAACAGTATATTGGGCTTCTAATTGCTGATCTGATATGTTCCCTTCCAGATGGATTAGGGTTCCAACTTCTGATCCGATATGTTCCCTTCCAGATGGATTGGGCCAGTTAGTTTCCTTCATACGTGGCCTTTGGGACTTGACTAGATAATGTCGTAAAAAACAGTAAAAAATAAAAAATAAAACGCGCCAACAGCAGAAAGAAATCCTTTCGTTTCTGAGTCTTCAGTCGGAGTCGTCTCATCCACCTCCCAATCTCATCCACTCCGCTGTTACTTTACAGTGTTCCAAAGGTACCTTCATTATCTTCCCTATTTTCTGTATCTTTGAATTTGCCTTGGAAATGCATTACTATATAATTTTCTAACGATTTATGCACTGAAATTTACAATCTCCCTTTACAATTTTAGTACAATTCCATTATATGGAGCTCAATTACCAAAAAATATGAATTTATCTGGATTTTTAGACTGATCCTGTTAATTATGCTTGTAAAATTATTTGTATTCATTACTATTTTGCTAGATATTCTTTTTCTAACATTGAAGTTTAATGTTTGCCATATATATGTGTGTATATATGTCAAGGGTCGGGAAACACACATTCTGTACACTCTTCTTCATAATGTATGTCAAAAAGAAATAGATTTTGACACATATTGTTGAAATACATAACGAAGTGACCTTACAAAATCCTTGAAATATATATATATATATATATATATATATATATTTGAAAACATAGAAAAAAGAAATTGAGATTAACTTGTGTTTTTGTTGGACTCAGTAGCAAGATGCAGAACAAGGAGACAGTTATCACTGAGCTTTACATTCCCAGAAAATGGTATTCAATCTCTATTTTTTTATTAAAAAAAATCATGCCCGCTGTTTGTTTGTCTATGTTTGTGATTTTAATTTGAGGGTTTGTGTTGAAATTGTGTGGTTTGTGTGTGGAAGTGCATCTCGGCCACCCACAGGCTGATCACTTTGAAGAACGATGCGTCCGTTCAGATTTGATAAGCCCAGTCCAGTTCAATCTGCAAACGCAAATCCACAGTCCCCATCAGCAACAATTCAAAGTTCTCACTCCCGCTCAAATCCACAGCAACTTGTTTGAGTAAAGATCAATCTGATTAGCAGACGTCTTTCAAGCACAGTCCATCCTCATCACAACTCCATCTATCTGTTCAACAATTCGTTTGACAGATTTTGTATACATTTAAACTACTTGTATTTATCTCAAAGTGTTACAACCTAATCATTGTAAAGTCTATACAATGAATGAGAAAGCTGGCTCATAATTATTGAGCTAAGCTTACAACAATTCTGAGTTTATATTTATCATAGAGCATTTTTATGGTCTCCAAGAGCTAAAGTCTTACGACCTAAAGCTTCATTTTTTTTCCTCCAAAAATGGCGTCCTCTTCCAACCCAAACTATGAAGCCTGGATGCAACAAGATGCTTTGGTCATTTCTTGGATCAATAGCTTTATCCATCCCATTGTTATTGATGCACTCATTGGTAAGACAAGTTCTCATTCTGCTTGGACTTGCCTCCGTGAAAGGTACGCTTCTCAGTTAACTGAACGTCTTCTCCAATTGCGTAGTGAACTTATGAATATACATCGTGGCGATTCTTCAATCGTTGAGTTTCTTGATCAAATCAACTGTCTTTATTTTTCCTCTCTGGAGCTCTTGTTGTTGATTCTGACCTTGTGGCAATTATTTTAAATAATGTTGGGCCCGTGTATGAGGGTACTGTTGCTTCTGCTCAAGCACGGGAAGAAGCTATTTCCTATAGTGCACTAGAAGCTCACCCTTTTGGTGCAGAAAGACGCCAAAAAAATGCACACCGTTTTCTCCCATGACGATGGCCCTACTGTACTTGCTGCTGGACGTGGTCGTTTATGAAATTTTTGAGGCCATGGTTTTGGTGGTGCACGCAGAGGTCGTGGTCACTACAATGGTGGACGTGGATCATCGTATCGTCTAAATGGTTCAGGTTCGTCCTCAAATACATTCTTCAATTCTAAGCCTTCTAATGATGGTGCTTTGGGCGCTGCACCTTCACAGAATCATCATGGTTTTTCTACCATGGGGAGAGTTCAATGTCAAATCTTCCATCGTCATGGCCATGCAGCCATTGACTATTTTAACAGGCTAAATATAGCATACAAATGGCGTTTGCTAGTACCACGTCTCCAAGCCTATGTTGCAACTGCACCTACTCATTCTTCTAATCACCCATCGGCATTACAGACTTGGTTGTTCGACTCTAGAGCCAATGCTCACATCACCAATGACGTAAATCAAGTCACCAACCCACGTTCTTACAATGGTACATACAACGTCAATGGTGTTGTTGATGGTTCAGGTTTGCAAATCTTTCACATTGGCAACTCTTCTATTCACACCACCACTCACTCCTTCACTCTCCCTAACATTCTCCATTGCCCTATGCCTCCACAAATGTCATTTTCATACACCAATTTAACAATGATAATAATTGCTCACTAACCTTATATGCCAATTCATATCGTGTTCAAGACCTCACCACGGGGATCATCCCTTTACAAGGCTGGAGTAGGAATGGCTTTTACCCTTTCTCAAGTGCATCAGTGTTAAATAAAGGCGTTTATGCCTTTGTAGGTGTTAGAGTGTCAAATGCCATTTGGCATTCTAGGCTAGGTCATCCATATATTTCCCTTTTAAAGTCTTTAATTTCAAAATATAAATTATCACTGTCTGGTAATGCAATATATGATTTTTGTTCCTCATGCCCTTTGGGCAAAAGTCATAAGTTGCCTTTTGCTTTGTCAAGTTCTATGGTGTTTGTTTCTTTAGAATTAATTCACCTTGATGTATGGACTTCACCTACATATTCAATTAATGGATTCAAGTATTATGTTATTTTTGTTGATGATTACTCAATATATACATGGATCTATCCATTAAACTTAAAATCCGATGTTTTTCAAACATTTGTTACATTCATGAACTTTGTGGAAAAGATGTGGGCACCAAAATAAAATCATTTCAATCCGATGGTTTTTTTTGGGGGGGGGGGGGGGGGGGGGGGGGTGGTTGGTTGGGGGGTGGAATATGTAAACACATCCTTTAAATAATTTTTTAATCATCATGTCATTCATCATCATCTTTCTTGCCCCCGCCATCCCGAACAAATTGGTCTTGCAGAATGTAAACATAGACATCTTTTTGAAACGGGACTTACACTTCTTGCCCATGCATCGTTACCTACATCTTTCTAGGGTGATGCTTTTCATACCACAAATTACCTTATTAATCGTCTTCCAACCAAAGTTTTTGGTGGTAACTCCCAATTTCAAAAACTCTTTTCCAAGCCACCACAATATGAATTTCTCAAAGTTTTTTGCTGTGCTTGTTTCCCATACACATGTCCATACACGGCACACAAGTTGGAATTTCGTTCAAAGTTATGCATATTTTTGGGTTAATCTTTAAATTATGAAGTTTAAACATGTTTAGGTCCCTCAACAGGAAAAAATTTCATGTCACATCATGTCATTTTTAATGAGCATAGTTTTCCATACAAAGATGTTATTTCTACTCCAATCTTGTCGTCCACTAACACCCCAGAGATTATCCTAAGCATTGGCCCCTACAACCCATCGTTCTATCTTCCCAATCCTAATCCTAATACAACACCACCTCTACCCATTATTTCAGCCATCACACCACAACCTAATCTAATCCCAAATTCACATCTTAATCCTAATTCCCAAACAATTATAAGCCAAACCACACCGCCACACCTTTTACCCCAGCCCAACCCTTCCAATCCCACCAATACATCTTTCTCCCTTATCCCATGACCATGGAAGTTGCCAATGTATCTACTGGTCAGATCAATTCAATAATCCTCTCATGGAATGGTTACAAAAGCTCCTGATGGCATTCGAAAACCAAACCCAAAGTATTCTTGTCTTAATGTTGCTACTAATATTTTGGTTGAGCCAAAATGTTTTTCTCAGGCAAATAAATTTCCTAAGTGGCGACATGTTATGGCTGATGAGTTTATTTCACTCCAGCGCACAGGCACATGGGTCTTTGTCCTCTTTCATCCTTCCATGAACGTCATTCCTAACAAGTGGGTTTATTGTATTAAATGCAAGTCTGATGGTTCTATTGAAAGATTCAAGGCTAGACTCATTGCCAATGATTTTCATCAACAAGAAGGAATTGATTTTGGGGAGAGTCCAGTGGTCGCTCATGCCACTATACGTCTTGTTCTGTCTATTGCCCTTCACTTCCAATGGCCGATTCAACAACTGGATGTGCACAATGTCTTTCTCCATGGCAATTTGACTGAGGAGGTTTACATGAGATAACCTGCTGGTTTTATTGATCAACAATTTCAGTCACATGTTTGTCGACTTTGCCGATCCCTATATGGTTTGAAACAAGCATCTTGTGCTTGGTTTCAATGTTTTTCTCATCATCTTGAAGACCTTGGGTTTACTGCTTCTCAGACCGACCCCTCCTTATTCACATATTTTAATAGATCAACGATGATTTACCTATTAATCTATGTTGATGATATATTGATCACATGTAACAATAATGCTCAACTTGCTCAGTTCATCCAACAACTTAGACAAAAGTTCTCCATGAAAGATCTTAGGCCCTTACACTATTTTTTGGGAATGGATGTTCAACGCATTGCTTCTTATATGTATCTTACTCAGTCTAAATACATTCTAGATCGTCTCAAGAAAATGAATATGATTGATGTTAAACCCCTCTCCACACCAGTATCTAGTGGGAAACGTTTAAGTTTGTATGAAAGGGAATCTCTCTCTAATGGCACGACATTTCATAGTGTTGTGGGAGCACTCAAATACCTGTTGTTCACACACCCAGACATCGCTTTTGCCATAAATCAAGTTTGCCAGTGCATGCACTCTCCAACCATTGCTCACTAGGCTGCAGTGAAATGAATACTCCGTTATTTAAAGGGAACACATGATCATGGCATTGTTTATACACCGAGTTCTCTTCATCTCATTGCTTTTATGGATGCTGATTATGTCGGTGATCATGATGATTGATGGTTTATGATCTTGATGATTGCCCGTTTATTGGTGGTCACTACACCTTTCTTGGTAACAACTTTAGTTTCATGGAGTTCGAAAAAGCAGTGTGGAGTCTCGCGATCCAGTACTGAAGCAAAGTATCGTCAATTTGCATATACTTCAGTGCACTTGTCATGGTTTCACAACATTTTCAGAGACCTGCATCTTTATCTTCCTTTTCCTTGTCTCTAGTGCGATAACATTATAGTGCAATTGATGTTGCCTCCAATCTTGTTTATCAGGCACCCATGAGAAATGTTGGAGTGGATTATCACTACATTCGAGAAAAAGTCATTAGACAAGAACTTGAAGTTGGATATGTTGCAGTCTGTGAGAACCCGAAATTTTTTTGAATTAGTTAGTAGTGCAAGTGTTTGATTTAACTCTCTAATCTATATAATTAGACTAATATGTAAATTGGTTCATATTTTTTTAGATTCATTATATATATATATATATATATATATATATTATACCTATATAAATCTAAAAAAAAAAAAAAAAGGGGACAAATACAATATTTTGTTATTACTTTATTTTTTTATTTTTCTTTCTTCTGGACGACAACCCCAATAAGGAGTTCACAATCTCCTTATCTTTAGTCTGGAAAGGGGAAAAAGAAGCCCTAGCTTTTTCTCTCTTCGAATTTCATAAGCAAGAAATAAGTTTTTGTCTTTTGAGTCTTTAATTCCATACTTTTCTAGAGTCAAATTGGAGTAGCCAACAAGCAGTTCATGAGGTAAGTTTGTTTTTGTTTCCTTATGACTATACATTGAGTTGTGTTTTACATGCATCTCTCTCTTACCACCACGTAGGAATTTGAAATTAGGAGGTGTGTTATTTTCATTTGCTAGGATTTTCATCTCAATCTAGCTACCATGTGAGTAGTCAGGTAAATCCTCCTCTTACTGCTAGCAAGCAGGAGGTGTTCAATTTCTGTGGCTTGGTGGCTTGTGTCACCTGAGTGTTAGTCCCATGAGAACTTGTGGAGTCTATGGAAGTAGGAGGTGGAGGTCTAAGAAGCAGGTGGTGAAGAGTCTAGAGTAAGGTATCATGATTGTTAAGGATAAGTGCGAGTTTTTAGCCACTTAAAAAGAAACAAAAACCTGTATAAATAGGGAGTCAATAGTTTTCTCGAGAATCAACAGTAATAGAAATGTCAGACAAAAAGCTTTATAGTTTCAGAAGGCTAGTGAAGGAGAATGGGTGCTAAGAGTTGAAGTATTTTTCTTTTGGTTAGACTTCTCATTCCTTTTATTTGTTTCATTTTTATTTTAGGGGGGCTTTGAAGAGCTTGGTTAATCAATAGTCAATCTCTTTCAGCCAAAAACCCTTATAATTTTATTATAGAATGTTCAGTTCCTCTTTGATTTCAAAATATACTTATGTTCTGTTACTGTTTAAAACAGAAAGCTTTCATAAACTCGAAAGAAAGAGTCTTTTATGTTGAGGTTTTGGTTATGGATTGGTACGAAGGAAGGGATTTCAAGGTGAATTTTTGAAACATGAAACTTTTGAATTAGTCATCCAAGTCAATAAACAAATTTTGGTGTTGGAAACGAGTTCTGATTGTAATAATATATTTAGATATTATTGGTGGATTCGTACAGATATCCAATATTAATTTTGCATAACTAATTTCCACCATACGAAAACTCTTAGTTTTAAAACTATTTTTACTAGAAAACTGAAGTACGTTTTGTTTGGGATATTATTATACATACTTATTAAAGTATGTATTCTACAAAGTCTATTTATAATACGAGTTATATTGCATGCTTAAGTACTGATAGTTTATACTTTGAATAGGAACTCACAAGTTGGATCAAGATACTTGATCAGTTTGGCAGTTACGTGGACTTACGTTGTAGCTTTGGAACCAGGTAGGGGGTGCTTGGGAAACCTCATAAATATTTATTCTTTTATTATCTGATTATTACGTATTGATTGATATTTATCTATGTGGTTGGATTCATAAACTCATTGCCTATACGATTACTTGGATGGATTGAGATACATGTTTTTCATTCATTTAAACAATGAACTGATTACCTTGAGTTGAGATTCTTGTGAAGGAGATAAGGAAATGGGCATTGAGGAAGGCTTTTGTGTAGTTGAGCCTAATTCTTGGCAGGTACCAGGTCTCAGGCTAGCCCCAAAGTGCATAATAATTTAAAGGTAATACGGGACTGGCGAAAGGGAATTAGGCAAGAGCACTGACAAAAGGAAAATATGGTGTTTGGGTTCAAGTTAATAAGGTTTGAAGAGAAACTTTGTGCATTCATACATATCATTTTTCTAATGTGTTTTAACTATATAAAAATAATATACTCATGGTTATATATATATATTGAGGTATTATGTCACTACTGAGTTTTATGCTCACCTTAATTAAATTTGTGCTGGTTCAGAACCAGAGAATTAAGTCATGTGCTAGAGATGTTACTTCTTGTATGATATGTGTAAATAGAAATAAAATAAAGGGCTTGGGGGTGTTAGCTCTTTTGTTTGAATAAGGAACAAGAAGCTTTATGTTAATTTATGTAAAGTGTACTTTGTAAAACTTGAGAATTATCTCTTCGTGAATAAATGTGAATTATGTTTGAACAGATTTATATCTTCTAAATAATTTTTTTTTCTTTTCTTTCTTCACTATTTAACTATGGATTAATCTGTTCTTAAAGATTTTATTCCATATTAAATTGTGAATCATGCCTTAATTAGAGTTTTAAGTTAATACTCCGATTAGGGTGTGACAAATCACTGATCAAGTAGCAAATTTTCTAACCAAAGGGTTATCTTCTTAGCGTTTCAACTATCTCATCTCCAAACTTTACTTCTTTTCCACTTGTTATTTCTGCTCATTAGAGTTCGTCTGTATAGCAGGAACACATTAATTCTTAAGAAAATGTTCACATGGCAATCAAATTCCTAGTTCCATCCATAGAATTTCGCTTGATTGTAATGTGCCGGTGTTATATGCTTATCTATTCTATACGTACACTTTCTCGTTATACCTTGAAGACATTTGCAATTTTGGAGTACATTACTATTAGGTCTGTTTCTGATTGTTTTTGTCATCTTTGTTAGGGCATTCGACGAACTATGGCAGAAGAAAACTAAAGTGAAGCAACATCTGAGCGATATCATCTCTTAGTCAAACTGTTAAGTTTTCCATTAACTGATGATGTGACATCTACGTGGATAATGATCGGACGTCACATGTTAATAAGAATCCCATGTGGATATTAAAAAAATTAAAAAATTACAAAAAAAAAAAAAAAACAATGTTCTTCCTCAACCTCGAGCATCCCTTCCTTCTCGACCTCCGCCCATGTGCAAATCCAACCCTCTCCCTCCTTCAACCCCCGAGCAACCCAGCCATCCCAAAAATGTTCTTCATCCCACAAGCTTCGCTCCCTTACCCTCCGCCTCTCTCTGCACCGCGTTCACTTTCTCCCTGGAAATGAAATCGAAAGCCCAGAAAATGCAAGAAAACTAGCGGGACTTCGAGAGGTAAAGTTGAATTTCTCCTTACTCAAAATCGAAAATCTTCAAATGCGAAACGATTGATAAGTTTTTGGGAAAAAATTGGGTTTTTAAATTGGCTCTGACTCGGAGCCGCTGAAAAAACAAATTTGGAAGGTTGGAGAGAGAAGAAGATGAGAGAGAGGGAAGAAGAAGGAGGAGGAACTTACACGGTGAGACGACGATGGATCGGTTGGGAGAGGTCGGGCGGTTGAATGAGAATCGTACGGACTGGGCAGTGGGGGCCGCGGTCGCGACGTTGAGGCGAGGGGGGAGGTGGGAAGCGGCGCGATTGAAGAAGGTGGAGGAGCGGGAGGAGAAGCTGGAAGTGGAGGAGGCGAGGGTGCGTGGGATATGGGTTGGGTGGTTCTGCTTTGATTTTTGATGTTGCTTCAGCTGGGATTTAGAGAAGGGAGGGAGAAGGAGAAGAACAGCGCTTTTTTTTCTTTTTTTTTTTTTTTTGTAATTTTTAATTTTTTTTAATATCCACGTGGGGTTTTTATTGACACGTAGTGTCTAATCATTGTTCACGTAGATGTCATATCATCAGTTAACAGAAAACTTAACAGTTTGAGTAACGAATATATAAGATTGTTCCAAAATTTACACTTTAGCTATAACTCTGGACAAAAAAAATTTAATATACTAAATGTTAAAAACCACAAAACAGTAGTAAAGAATCTAACCCAAAAATCAAACTAAAGCAGCCTTGCAAATTCTTTGTTCTTACCAAAACAGGGTTACAAAGGTCCAGAAAATAAAAAAAAAAAAATAAATGAGAAAAGCTGTAGAGCACTTTCACCCATTCCGGATGCAACTTAAGAGGGCAAGTGGTGAGGCAATCCATGCCCGCTCAAATGCTCATGCAATTTAAGCTCAGTCTTACGTTAGTAAACATGTTTGATATCGGCATGACGTTAGCCATTGTTTTTTTTTTTTTTTTTTTTTTCTATCTGACAGGTGTATTTATTTAGTTAATATTTTTGCCCAATAGCATAATTCATGTAAAGATCTCCAGCGCTCGTGGATGGCACGTTAATTTTTTACTTTTTGATATAAGACTGCACATATCATACTTTAGTTCTCGAGTTACACGGTATGTTAAAACAGTGTTAATGGATCCAACAAAATAAATCAGTAAGAATTTGAACTCGAGTTAGAGTTCCGATTTTGACTAGTAGGACCCAAAACAACGGAAGGGGATCATTTTCAATGATTAAAGTTATTATAATTTTTATTATCTGTTGAATCAAATTTCAATGATTCGGATTCTCTGACTTAATAGATCAGGAGAAAGTCCGTTTCCGAAAACAACAAAGTGAAGTCCGAATCACACTCTGTAAAAACAGTTTCCAATCCCGTGTACCTCTCCCACCGGAATGCCGCCTCGTCATCTACCCGACCCAGTGACGCTATAGACTCATCTGACGTGGATGCATCATACACCGTTCATGCAGTAGCGCCTGAGACTTGTGTGAAGATTTGGAGGGAAATCTGGGAAAATTAATGTAGACGCATAAATGCAAAATCTGCAGAAAAAAAAAAGGGCAAAAAAAAAAAGGAGAAAAAATGGAAATTATAAAATAAATACAGAGAAGAAAGTCTCTGATTTTGGAATTTACAAAGTGGCAATTGCATATATTTACAATCCAAACCCAGCCCCCCTCTCTCTCTATCTCTCTCCGTCTGACCCTACCTATCTTTCTGTGATTGGGAGAATTGCGACGGCGATCGGACGTCTTCAATCGGCGGAGTTCCGGTGACGGAGTTCCAGGGCTTTCCGGCGAGGTAAGATTTTCGTGAAATCTTCCTTTGCCCTTTCAATTGAACGGTGTCGTATTTGGGTTCCGTGAGATTAAAGTAGAAGCATTTAGGATATTTTGGTTCAGATCTGGTGTGCTTTGATTAGGGGATTTTTGCTGTGACAGAATTAAGGATTCTGTATCGGATTTTGCTGAATTTGGGATGAATTGAAGGGCGGGGTTTTGGAATTAGGGGTTTTTTTTTTTTTTTTTTTTTTTTTTTTGTTTCGGGAGGTTGATGTAGATGGACGAAGGTGTGAGATCTGTTGGCCCTTCTGGGGTTTTGGTGAAGAAAAATTCTTCAGGTTGCTTAATTGTTAGGAAGAAACCGGAGAAATTGAGTGGCGCTGTTGGTCCTTCGAGTGCTCGTAAGGTTTTCGAGCCGAAAGAGAAGAAGAGGTCGAGGTTGGTATTGAGCGAATCGGGGTCTAGTGATGAGATATTGGCTCCTCCTCGTAGAAAGGTTGGACCTGAAACTATACGGGTTTGCAATAGTTTAAGAGCTGTAGATAAGGGCATTGCTGAAAATAGTGAGTTTGGTCAAAAGCGGGAGAGATTGGATCCGGTTAGGCGTAGTGAGGATGGCATGCTTGGTAAAAGTTATTTGGATGAGAGTGGTGGAAAGAGAAGTAAGTTGGAGGTGTATGAATTTGATGAGTATGATGAGGAGATTTCAAGAAGGAAACGGTTCAGTGATGGGGTAGGTGAGTTTGGGGGAAGAAGGTTTTCAGGAGCGATTCCTGTGCCACTAAGTGGCATTAAGAGGGAATGCGAAACTGGTTCAAGTAGACATGTAGTTGACAAGAGGAAGAATTCGTACTTTGACAGGATGAGTAGCTTGAACCGAGGAGGTCATACTGACAGGGGAAGGTTTGAGATGAATAGGGATGGAGCTCAGCTACCCTTATTGAGAGACAAGTTCACGGGTCAATCAGAGGAATCCATTAGGCTACAGGGTAAAAATGGTGTTTTGAAGGTCATGGTGAAGAAGAAAAAGAATGCGGGTGGGCCACTGGAGAATTTTCGCAAATCTGAAGAAAATAGAAAGGCTCTGAGGAGTGTAAATATTGTGAAAAATGCTATTATCCCTCCTTTTTACTCGGAACCAAAGCTTCCTGAGAAACCAGTTTCAGTTGTTAGGCCATTGAAAAACCATCCGAATGTACGAAAATCATTGCCGTCTTTGAACAGTAAGGGCTCCGATTGGGATTCAGAGGATAGTGATACATCACTGAAACAAGGACCAAAGAGTGTCGAAGCCTCTAAACCTAGGAAGAGGGTGGTTTGCAAAGATGAAGGTGGTCCTTCATGTGAAAAGACTCCTCCAACCAGAATCAAAGAAGGTAAAATTAAACGTGGTAGTGGCACGGAGAAGCAAAAACTACGTGAACGAATACGGGAGATGCTGCTGAGTGCAGGTTGGACAATAGATTATAGGCCTAGAAGGAACAGAGACTATCTAGATGCTGTGTACATTAACCCAGCAGGTACAGCTTACTGGTCCATCATTAAGGCTTATGATGCGCTTCAAAAGCAGTTGGATGAGGAGGAAAATGAGGCTAAACCTAGTGGGGCTTTGCCTATAACTGATGATGTACTTAGCCAATTAACAAGGAAAACTCGAAAGAGGATTGAGAACGAAATGAAAAGGAAACAAAGGGTTGATGATGAGGATGAGAATGCAAGAGGAGTCCGTATGAAAAGATCTACAAGTATCAAGCGTGATCAAGGGAGCATGGATAGTGTTAGTTATGAGGATAAACTAAGCACCTACTTAAAGCATGGTGGTAAGACGTTTAAGAGTGAAAATGGTTTGGCCAGTGTGAACTCAAATCAACTACATGAAGGTATTGAAAAGCCGTCTTCAGGATCCAGTTCGCATATGCCACATGGAAGGAAAAGTAGAAAGCTTGGAAGGTGTACTTTGTTGGTTCGTGGTTCAAAATATGGGGTTAACTCCGAAAGTGATGGCTTTGTTCCATATACTGGGAAACGGACTTTGCTTTCCTGGCTGGTTGACTCTGGAACTGTGCAGTTGAGCCAAAAGGTGCAGTATATGAATCGCCGAAGGACTAAAGTAATGCTGGAGGGATGGATTACAAGAGATGGCATTCACTGTGGTTGCTGTAGTAAAATCCTCACAACTTCAAAATTTGAGATTCACGCAGGAAGCAAGTTGCGCCAGCCATTTCAAAATATATGTTTGGACTCGGGCGTTTCCCTTCTGCAGTGTCAGTTAGATGCATGGAATAGACAAAAGGATATTGAACGCATTGGTTTCCACTCTGTAGAAGTCGATGGTGACGATCCAGATGATGATACTTGTGGCATCTGTGGGGATGGCGGGGATTTGATCTGTTGCGATGGCTGTCCATCAACATTTCATCAGAGCTGCTTGAATATACAGGTATGTTGCATTATTTCTCTGCAGAGTGCAGCATATATTGGCGCTTTCTGTATTTTCACCAGTCCATGTTCTGTAAATCTTTTCTTTTGTGATATATTTTGGGCCATTGGGTTATTTTTTTCCTTCTACATATTAAGTCCGATGAAGTGAGGTTTACTTTTGAAAGAAAAGGTTAGAGATTGTAGTAACATCTTTAAGTTTGTATATGCATTGTGGCATTGGTTGTATGTTTTTGTGGCATGGGAAATGCTTATTTGTAAGTCTTGACACTAGTGGGAGATTAATAAATGAATTTTATGGATCAATGGAGGGAGAGATTGAATTATCTGAGTTAGCTCCAAACACTTCTGATGCTCTTTATCAGGATTGTAACTCATATATGTTTGGAGAGGGAGACTGCCTTTGTGCAGTCACGCTTAAGCTACTTTGCTCTTATGGTTGAGCTTTTGTGTTTCAATTGTAATTTTGGTTGTTCTGAGTACTACATCATCAGTTCAATGACATTGCATGTAAATTTTGGAAAGGAAAATCTTGTTTAGATGTGTTCTGCGTCACCAAGTTGTGGATACATTGATCCAGTTTACTATAGACGTGAGCTAAAACACAGTGTTAGTGTTTGTCAACTTATTTTTTTGTAGTTTTGTGAATTTGCAAAATGATTTCATTCTGATTGTATACTCATAATCAGGTATTAATACTTTTGTTCTCATTGCAGATGCTTCCTCCTGGTGATTGGCACTGTCCAAATTGTACATGCAAGTTTTGTGGGGTAGCAAATGCGAATGTTGTGGAAGAGGATGATATAACTGTTGATGCACTGCTCACTTGCAGCCTCTGTGGGAAAAAATGTACTCATCATTTGTTTCCTTGCTTCTGAAATTTTTAGCATCTGCTTATATAATTTCTTTTCTTTCCACTGCTTTCAGATTCACTGCTTGAAAAATGATTTTCTGCTTTTGCAGGTCACATATCATGCTGTCAGGAGATGGATGGTAGTCCTGCTGCTTCTCCTAGTTTAGGCTCTTCCTTCTGTGGGCAGAAATGCAGAGAGGTATCACTTCTTTGCGGTTCCTGAAATTTTATTGACTTGATAATTGATATGTATGCATGTGAGGTGTTACTGTAAATGCCGAGGTTCGTAGGATATGAAATTATAAACTAATAATGCCCACTTGGGGGGTAATATCTAAATTTTCTAATAAATTCCGGCTTCCCATTTATTTAGGTCAATCACGTAAGTTGACCACGATGCATGTGGTTTGTCACCTTATCAAGCATTATTAGTCATAGTAATTGTCATTGCCATTGGCCAAACCCTCTCCTGCTTATCCCTGGTCAGCATTAATTGCCCCCTGGGAGATTCCTTTTCATCTCTATAGCAGCCGCTGTTCTTACTCTCGAGAATTAAATGGATGTAAAATATAACCTCTGTGCAAACATCAACAGTCACAAGATAAGATGTCGTCCTGCCAAAGATGGTAAAATTGATATATCAGGATTTCAGGGTTGATTTCTTTTCCCTAGAGGGCTGTCCAAGTTCCGGGAATTAGGGAACATGTATAATCTAATTTTCATTTCGAGCTCAAAACGTGTGAGTAAGATGGATGTGTTTTTGTGATGTCAATGATATTTCCATCGGATATAGCCAAAATTGCAGAAGGATCAAGGGCAGCTTTTTCTTTGCCCCTAGAAACCCAACTACCACATCCAGTGTGAACAAAAGTAGAGGAAGAAGTACTAAAGTAGAAAACAGAGGAAGAAAATGAATGCCTTCTTGATGTCTGGTTACCGAGTGAAGATTTAAAATGCTCTTGCTTTTCAGTAACTGGGGATTTGATTACCACGGAATTGATGCAACATTGAACTTAAAGTTTATTCACAATTTTCATAATTAAAGAAATTTCTCCTTGTTTTGTCACTAATGTTTCCATCAATGCTGATATTTCTACAAGTACGAATGAGCAGTATTTCCATAAATATTGACATTTTATCGTTGTCAGCCGTGAAGGTGTTTTTTAAATTAAGCAAAGGTTTAAGTTTTTCTTTATGAATTACCTAAATGTCAATTTATGAAGTGTTACAAAAATGTAGAGGTCGGTAAACTGTTTGTGAAATAATCGTGTTTTTTTTTTTTTCCTGTTATGACCTTGTTCCAACTTCCTTGACAAAATTTCATATGTTTTAGATTGATGTACAAATGGCATTTTTCTTCCCATGCAACCTCCTATAACTTTTGTGCTGTCCCTTTTAGGCACTGACTTTAACTTTAATTTTGTTGTTCTTTAGCTCTTTGAGAATTTGAAGAAGTATCTTGGGGTTAAACATGAACTAGAATCAGGATTTTCATGGACACTCGTTCATAGAACTGATGAAGATGAAGGGTTCCCTCAAAGGATCGAATGCAATTCTAAGCTAGCTGTTGCTTTGACTGTTATGGATGAATGCTTTTTGCCTATTGTTGACAGGAGGAGCGGCATCAATTTAATTCATAATGTTCTTTATAATTGTGGGTAAGTGCTGATCTCCATTGTTGATTTAGTTGACAGCTGAGAAAGTTTGCTTTTCAACTATTTGATTTTCATGAATAAGACCTGGTTACCTTATCTGGACCTTGACACACCAGATTGAAGGTGGGGATCTTAAATTTTTGAAGTTCTAGATAAATGTCTGTATATGTTGTGTTGTGTTACATTTACAAATGATAATGTGCTTGGCTTTCCAAGGTTAATTGAAAATTGCAAACTCGGTACCAAGCATGCTGTTATATGATTTTTATTTTTTTTTTAAGGCTGTTGGTTTTTTGACTAATGAATTGTTTTGGCCCATTTTCTTCTTAGATCAAACTTCAATCGACTGAACTACAGTGGCTTCTACACCGCTATTTTAGAGAGAGGCGATGAAATAATTTCTGCTGCATCAATCAGGTACATTCTCATATTTGATAGCTATTTATATCTTAGTTGTTAACTTGTTATGCATGCAGTTTTTCATTCTTAGGCTGCGTGTTTGCTTTTTTACGTCCGTTTTATGGATTGCCCCGGTCTATCCTTTTTTTTCCGTTTCTCCAAAGAGTCATGGGCCATGGGTTATTTTTACATTTTATCAGAAGGATTATTAGACATATGAGTTAGTGTATGAAGAGGTGTAAAAGTAGGAAATAATGGAAATTGAAGTAATTGACAGTTACGTCAGCCTTTTGGAATCTCTTTTTAGTACTTTTTTTTCAAATGTTACTGGTATATGTTTGATTTTTGGTATATTTGATTGACAAACAGGGTGCTCTTTACAATAGCATATGCGTGTTGGTGTGTGTGTGTGTGTGTGTGTGTATGCGAACCCCTTCTTGAGCGCAATCTCACTCAAGGGTAGCGATAGCGGGATCCATGTCAATAACATATCAGTAACACGTCGACAGCTGATTGAAAGAATATCAACGGCTGTATAAATATCAATAATATGTTGTTGATATTGTTGTCAATAATTCTATATTGGATCCCACTCCAATTACAGTTGAGTTTGATAGCCCTTAAGAAAGTCCTTGTGTATATAATTATATACCGTTCCATTGAGGGATCCCTCGAATTACCTTAGTTGAGGGATACATTGTGGGGCCCGCTTCAGAGTTTATTTTAAAGAACCATATATTTTATGCATGCGTGACAATGGATTCAGACCATTACACTGTTTGCTATCTATAACTATACGAGGGAAGACCTCTCAAATTGGTAATGGCAATCTATGGTTTGCTTTTCAATTATCATGAAAACAAATTCTTATAAATTATGAAATCTGCTTCTGGTTAGGTTTCATGGTACAAAGTTAGCAGAGATGCCATACATCGGAACTCGCCACATATATAGGCGACAAGGGATGTGCCGTCGGCTTTTTTGTGCCATTGAATCGGTAAGCTATGTGAGCTGTGCCGTTTTGGTAGTTTTAATTGCATGAAAAAGATATTCAAAATAATTCCAGCTCTCCGTTGTGGTGTTACCTGCTGTGTTTTCTAAAAGGCTTTTGATTGGTCTTGTTCTTTCCATTTTGAAGGCTCTATGTTCTCTCAAGGTTGAGAAATTGGTTATCCCTGCAATTGCTGAACTCATGCATACATGGACAGAAGTTTTTGGTTTTATTCCTGTTGAGGAATCATTCAAGCAAGAAATGAGGTCAATGAATATGCTTGTATTCCCTGGTATAGACATGCTACAGAAGTTGCTAGTGGATCAAGAAAATGAGGGGAACGGGACAGCAGACCTAGGTTATCTTTTAAACTTGTTATTTGCTCTTCCTTAATCACAATATTAGCCTGTTCTCTGACATTGATTTATTTGTCGATCCTTGTTTTTTTCCTTTGCAACAGGCATAAAGCAATTAGAATGCAAAGGCAAGGATTTAATAAAGCATGGGAGCGGAAGCAAATCAGATAGTGGTTCACCTGCTACTATTGATCATCATGGATCTGATGAAACCAGTTTTCCTCATATTAATGAAACAGTTGATGAAGCTGCTGCTATGGTTTCTGGTTCTCGATGTCTCAGTGTCTCCTTAAATGATAGTCCTGTGATGAGTGGTTCTTTAGATGGTTCTGATGAACATAAAAATTTAGATTCCACTGAGAGGAGTGTATCTTCCGACTCTCTTTTGGGGGCCGAATTACCTCGATCTACTTTGAACAAGGAATACCCTGTTGATACAAGCCACAAGGCTGTTGCAACAGAAGATAAGCCAGTGCTGGATTCTCCTGGTGAAAATAAAATTCAGTCTACCTCTCAGGGTCCTGGTGAGGCTCCAGCGATAGAAGATGAGCCAGCGCTGGATTCTCATGTTAAAGATAAAATGCAGTCTACCTGCCAGGGTCCTGGTGAGGCTTCAGTGATAGAAGATGAGCCAGCGCTGGATTCTCCTGTTGAAGATAAAATGCAGTCTGCCTCTCAGGGTCCTGGTGAGGCTCTAGCAACAGAAGATGAGCAGGTGCTGGATTCTCCTGATAAAGATAAAATGCAGTCTATCTCTCAGGGAACTGGTGAGGCTCTAGCGACGGAAGATGAGCCAGTGCTGGATTCTCCTCTTGAAGATAAAATGCAGTCTACCTCTCAGGGTCCTGGTGAGGTTCTAGCAGCAGAAGATGAGCCAGTGCTGGATTCTCCTGTTGAAGATAAAATGCAGTTTACCTCTCAAGATGCTGCTGTTTCTTTGAATGACACTTCCATGATGAGTAGTAGGTCGTCGGATAATTCGAATGAACGTAACATCCAGGTTTCAACCAAGGGGGCCACATCTTCGGACTCCGGTCCAGGTACCAAGTCAGTGGAGTATGCTTCTGATGTCAACTACCAGTCTTGCCCTTACATAAGCCATGATGAAAAGGTGGAAATAGAACCAGTTTCAGATTCTTCTCTGAAAGAGAATTCTTCAAAATCTTTGGAAGAAAGTGCTTTGGATGATTCCCATGAAGAGAATGTTGATGCTTCCTGTCCTCAGCCTATTCCTTGTTCAGGAGAAACTTTCGCCAAGAACCATGCTGAGGAGGTTAATGGAAATCAAGACTCCAGTTTCTGTGGTGCTAATGAGAGTTCCTTGCTCAACAATTGTGATTTAAATATTCAACTTGATAGCAAGGCTAAAGACGAATCATATGTGGCTTTAGAAGTCGCGTCTGATGCAATGCAGTGTGAAAATAGCATTCCTCATGCATCTAGTGATGGTTCCAAGGCTGATTCTGGGAAAGCTGAATCTGGTTCTGTTTGATATATCTACGAAATCTTTACTGAGTTCAGTATGGCGATCCACAAATATCTCTCAATGCGGGAACCTCTCATTTCTTCACAATTCTGCAGGGCATTGGAGGTATGGGCAATGCCTGACTCAGATCCTAATTGATTACAACTACAAGGAATTTGAAACCCTTTGCCTTGTTTTAGTATGGTTTTAAGGTTATAGTTCAAATTAAGTGGACTTGAAGATTATTTTTTATCCTTGGAAGTTTCAAGATGTGCGATGTTGCATCTAGGACGGTGTCATGTACTATTAAGTCAAAATGGATGGTACTGCTGTCGAACGCCACATTGAATGTCTTGTAATATACCGATGCTGCTTCATTGTGTGCGCCTCTGGATCTGCTTGATGAGAGAGGTTTGGGCTTTCTCCGATGTCAGCTCATGACATGGCGTAGGTGGTTTCAGAAGATTATTCAGCGGATTCTGTCACGTCATTTTAAGCTTTGTTCCCAGTGCCGCTGCAGCAGACGACACACCTCAGCTGCAGTTTTGATTGCCCACCTGTTTGGAAGCATCGAGTTTATGTATTGTCAGCTTCTTAGCTTAGATGAGCTTCTCATTCAAAATTTGAATGAAGAGGAGAAAGGTGATCTGCTATCGAACAGAGTTGTTCCCGTGCATTTGATGACGAGTTTCCATAAAATGTCTGAAGCACTCATTGGATCTGTAGATTTATTGGACGGAGTATTCGCATTGCTCGTAGGTTCATAGGAGCACTTATTTCTGTGCATACAGGGTTGTTTCTTTTTTACTTTAAACTGTTCAAGTTTTGTTCATTTAGCTACTCTTGTCAAGGCAGTGATAATTGTTGTTGTCAAACTAAGTCATTCATGTTATATTGTTACCTCAAACTACCTGCTTTAGTTAGGCATGTTGTGGAATTATTATATGAGTTGTCCTTTTATCATCTTTTGCAATTTGATTCGGAGTTGTGCTAGCGATGGCCTCCCATGCTCTCATGGATGGCTATCAACCGTTGATGAACTGCATTGCCTGACCCTGCTCGTGGTCAAGCGCACAATTTGGGGTCATTTGTCCGGCTGTGTGGATATGTATAATTAGATGTCTCCTGCAACCCAACAGGCAACAGCCGGCTGCTTGTCCATTAGTTTTATTTAAGTAAAGCGACGTTGGTGCATGTAACGAAAAATTATTTCTCTATTTGGATTTGAGTAAGAGTTAGAAATGCGGAGGGAGGCAATGGACATGTACACCGGCGTAGTCCCTTACCTCTATGGGGTATTTTGCCGCCGGCTCCAGTGTTGACGGAGATATCAAAAGGCGGAGGTTCAAGAAGAGAAGCGGTGCGGTTTAATTAACGGAAAGGCTCAGAGATGTGGAAGAAGAGCAAGTTTTGATAAGGCGAAGGTTGAGAGTTGTGGGAATTGCAGTCATAATTTCGAGGTGGTGGAAGAACAGTATGTCTGGTGATATGGTTTGAATTTGGAAGTGTAATATAATACGTGATATGATAGTTTCAGTTCATATGTGGATCGTATTATTTAAATTTTGCAAAGTAGAGGGTAAAATTCTATCAAAATGCTCACTTGTCAAATTATTGTGGTTGATGAAATTTATTTTCTTTTCCTTTGAACCGTGGAACTTGACAATTTCCCTTATTCGTAAACCGTTTTATTTGAGCTTGTTTTTTTAAAGGATAATATAAGAATTGTGCTCGATGATGAGCTTGTATTGATTTAACGTTTATATAGAACTTTACAAGTAGAGTTTGAGTGAAGAACAAACTCTTCAAAACAAACCAAAAGATAAATTACAGAAAATACTAATTCAAAATATTAACGTACAATCTGTTTGAATTCAAAATATTCAAACAGCTAAAGATTAGATTGAGGCAAGCCTTCCTATTGACTGATTCCATTGTTATCTCCTTTGATTGTTGTGGCGGGAACTGAGCTTTTCAAACTTGGTTTATCTCACCCCGCAAGCTGAGCGTTCACTAGCAAACGGGAAGCTTGGAGAGATTGAAACAATCCGTTTGTCAAGAAATCTGCAAGTTGATCTGCTTGGCAACATAACCAACCTGCAGCTCATGGCGTGTGACCTTTTCTCGAATATAATGATAATCAACTTTGACATGTCGTGTTCGGGCATAGAAGACTGGGTTGGAAGTCAAGGAGATCGATGAAATATTTTCACACCATACTTTTGGAGGAGAAAGCTGAAGATGCGAATCTTTGAATAGCTTGTGAAACCATGAAATGGTGGCTGCAGTGATGGCGAGTTGCCTGTATTCAGACTTCGTGCTTAAGCGCGAGGCACTCCCTTTTGTTTCTTGGAACTCCAGGACACAAGGTTTGGACCAAGAAAAATGCAATACCCTCCAGTTGATTTGCGATCGTCGGGATCACCAGCATAGTCAGAATCGGCAAAGGTAGTGAAAATAGTGAAGAATTCTTTTAACAACAATCCAGTGTGTAGTGGTGGGTTTATGCATAAACTGGCAAACCTGATTAATGGAGAATGCAATATCAGGACATGTGAAGGTGAGATAGTGTAGGGCACCCACTACACTCCTGAATTCGGTGATGTCCTATAATTGCTCTCCATCATACAAACTGAGGCATTTGCCACTGATGGCAGGAGTTGAAACTGGTTTCCAATCCACCATATTTGTACGTTTGAGCAAATCCAAAATATATTTGGACCGAGAGAGATGAATACCATTGCTGGAGCGATTACCCTCCATGCACAGAAAATAATTCAAAGGACCAAGGTCTTTCATGGAAGAGCGTTGAATTCATCAGCCATGTCTGTTCTCCATTCCTGAAATTTGTTAGCTTAACTGTAGCATGTAGGTTCAGACAATGCACTGATGGTGGAAGTACGGCATACTTAGGATTAGGTTTGTAAGTTCCAGCTTTTGCACGTATAACCATGGTATGGGTAGATGTGGAACCGGGAAAGACTAAGAGCACTCCCACCGTTGCATTTAGCACGGGGGACGGGCTCCAGAACAAAGGCCCGAGGGCCGGTGGACGGCGTCCAGCGTGACGCAGGCCGGGGGACGGGGGAGGCCCGAGGGCCAGGCCCGTGAGGGATTGCCAGCCCTTGAGCCCGAGGTGGGAGTGACGCAAGGCTGACGCCAGGATGGCGTCAGCGTAATATTTTATTTTTTTTGTGTCAGGCGCGTGCACCCCACCCGCGCGTGGGGGCGCGTCCTGACACGTTAATCAGAAAAAAAAAAAAGTTTGTCTGTTACCGTTGGGAAGCCACGTGGCTTCCCACGGTACGTTAGATCCTAACGGTCACTTAATGTGGACCGTTAGATCTCAACGGTAAAAAAAATTCAAACTGTCAGATTTAATATCCACCGTTCGATCTGAGATCAACGGTGGATATTAAAATGCTTTAAAAATTAAAAAATAAATGAAAAAATAGTTTTAAAAATCTGAAAAGTTACCGTTGTGACACGTGGCACAATCTGGAGCGTTGGAATTCAAATTTTTTTATATCCAACGGCAGAGATTAATTAATTGAATAAAAATTTAAAAAAAATTGTAAAAAATTCAAAAAAATTCAAAAAATATCTGAAAAATCTGAAAAAAAATTGTAAAAAAAATTGTTTTTACTTTTCTATAAATACCTTCTCATTATCATCTACCTTCACAACAATTTCATATTTTCTCAACTACTTTCAATCACATTCCTTTCTTTGTCTCAAAGTTTGAATCCATTTTTTTTCAACAAAATGACCACTGGTGCAGGTACGAATTGGTCGCTTATTGAAGATGTTGCGTTGTGTACTAGCTGGGTTGAAGTTACTCATAGTTCGCTTACGGGTAATGAGATGCAGTTGCGAGAAATGTGGAGTCTTATTCATACAAATTTTCTTGAGGTTCTGCATAATGCCACGTGGCATGCCGTCATTCGTTAAAAATCTGATGGAAATCTATCATCCAAGATTGTTAACAGATTATGACACGTGGCATGCCGTCATTCGTTTAAAATCTGATGGAAATCTATCCTCAAAGATTGTGAACCGATTATGACACGTGGCGCGACGTGATTGGTTAATAATCTTATCAGAAATCCATATTATAATTATTTATTTGTATTATTTAATAATACTTAGGATAATGACACGTGGCGCACCGACAACGATTAAAAATCTTATCCGATATTACATTTAAAATTATTTTGTATTAATTTTATAAATAAAAAAAAAACTAATATTTTATTGCCTATTGCCAGGGCTATAGAAGTGTAACGGTGGAGATGCAAAATCTATTGCCAGGGCTACTTACTGTTCATTAAGGGCAATTACTGTTCATTAGGTGGATTGAATAGTGAATTGCCAGGGGGGAGGGCTCCAACGCTGGAGTTGCTCTAAGGGTGTCAAAGAAGGGGAGGGTAGCGGGTTAGGATGTGATGGTTTTAAAGGCAAACTAATGGGAGAGTAAATAGGGGGTAAAGGTTGTGTGGTAGAGGCTAAAGAGGTTAGGTGTGTTTCTGAGATAGAGTTAGAGTGGATGAAGGAAGTTTGAGATGAAGTAGGGATAAGGACTGGCGAAGTTGGTGGTGAATTAAAAATTAATGCAGGTGTCCCAAGTGTAACAGGACTACTATCATGCAGAGAGGACGTTGCGGGAGTAACACTGGATTTTTCATGAAATGGAAAACAATTTTCATCAAAAACAACATGCTTAGACATGAAAACACAACCTGTGGATGGATCAAGACACCTATACCCTAATTGATTTTCTGAATAACCTAAGAAAATGTATTTCTTGGAATGAAAATGCAATTTATTTGGCATGTATGGACGTAAATAAGGAAAGCAAGCACACCCAAAAACCTTTAAAAAAAAAATCATATGATGGTTCTCAGTGAAACAACTTTGTGTATGGAGAAATTAATTTCAAAACTTTAGTTGGCAGTCGATTAATCAAAAAATTAGCAGTATGTAGAGCCTCAGTCCAATAAGTTTGAGGCATGGACGCATGAACAAGAAGAGTGAGGCCGGTTTCAACCAAATGACAGTGTTTTCGTTCTACCATACCGTTTTGTTCAGGATGGTGAGGGCATGTATATTGATGATGAATGCCATGTGTTTTTAAATAATGTTTGAAATTTTTGTTTATATATTCTCCTCCACCATCTGTTTGAAAAGTTTGGATTTTTCATTCAAATTATTCTCCATTTCAGTTTTAAATTTAATAAATGTCAAGAAAACATTGGATTTTAATTTTAAAAGATATAACCATGTATATCGCGAATAATCATCAATGAAAATTACATAATGTCGAAATCCAGAAATTGACAAAGTTGGGGATGTCCATATATCAGAATGAATAAGTTGTAAAGGAAAATGTGAAATTGAATTTCATACTGAAAATGGCAATTTCTTGCTTTTACCTAGAGGGCATGAATGGCATACATACAGAATTGAGATGGTGCCTAGTAAGAGGCACTTTACTAGTTGATACTAAATGCTTCAAGATAAATGACGATGGATGACCAAGTCTGGAGTGCCAAACATGATCATCAACTCTAACTCCCATGCACGAAAACATTCCATGTCTTTTATTAGAATTGAAACATGCATATGGATAAAACCCATTGTTACTCCGACCTGATAAAAGAGTCATCCCCGATCGGATATCCTAAACACGAAAAAAATTAGGGTAAAGTACAAAAAAACAGTCATTGTCATAGGAAAATTGGTTGATAGATAAGATATTTTGAGAGGTATCAAGACAATATAAGGTATTATAGAGAGTATAAGAGTGAGTGGGAAAGTGAATGTAGGAAGTTCCTATTTTGGAAATTTGCAAACATTGGCCACCATTAACGTCATTGACTTGATTTGTGCCTGTGCACTCATGTGCATTTGTAAGTTAGCCAAGATCATTTGTTATGTGAGTGTTGCCTCGAGAGTCCAGAAGCCAGCTTGTGGGAACATTGGGTGCTTGGGGTACACGATTAGACTGAGCAGCAAGTGTCGTGAGGTGAGCATTAGGAACACGTCCTTCATAGGAAGTATTCATGTTGTTGTTGCATTCAATAGCAGAGTGCCTATTTATGCGACAAATCTAGCATTTGAGTAGTGGTCTGTAAACAAAAGAATGACCTGCACCGAGAAGAAAACCATTGGAACGTCCTTGATGAAGACCAACATGAGCATTGGGGCGAGCCTGATGGGGCACAAAACTATCGCAAGGAGGGACAACAGCACGTCCTTCTCCGCGCGCAAAATCTGCAGGTGCAGTGACCCTGCGTCCAAGATTAGCAGCCATGGCTGGAACTAGAGTATCGCTAGACAAAGTGAAGGTGAGATGGCATGACATGTCCCGATCCCAATATTCCCCGAATACCAAGATAAGCATGTGTTGGCCGACACTCAAGGGTGACGAAAGTCATTTATTAAGTGCAAATATTGAAAACAAAGGGTAGATAAGACTTATAAATATAAAAAGAATAATGAATATGCATTTAAGGAACGTGTTCAGAGCATACAACTAACTAGAACACTAAAAGAAATAATAGAAAATTGAATAAATAAAAGAATGGATCCTCCGCCGAGAGGACTCGAAGATGCCGATACGGAAATACCTTGATGCCGGGATTGTATGCCTCGATTCTAAGTCCTGAAAGGGGCGCAAGACAAACATGAGTGGACCAAGTTGATATATATATATATAATAAAACAGTTATCAACATACTAACCCCCAGGTTTTATGAAAACACATATATCATGATAAACATAGGTTTTCCGAAACCTAGCATGCCGTGCAATGTCTCAAATCATAACTTGTATATATAATAATCACTAGTGAATGTCCGATAACCCCCAGGCCCCATGCCGGCTCCCTTTCTCTGAGCAGACAGTCAGAGGAAAATACACTTCAGGCCTCATGCCGGTTCCCCATCCCTGTGCTAATAGCCAGAGGAAACACACTCCCTATGCCAACACCAAACCATCGCCCGAGACGGACCGGAATCTATCCCTACGTCCCGTAGCGAAAAGGATCACTAGGTAAGTACAAAACCATTGAACATACATATATTGAAAAGCAACTTCATAGTATAAAGTCATCCATCATCTATACTATAAAGAGGTGTTCTAAACATGTTCTAAATATCATATCGTCATCCATCGGATATTCTATAAGAACACGGGTTATAGGAAAAATAGTAATAATTTAAACTAGCCTCAGTAAGCATGTTATCTCATAAAATATTTCATAAAACATAGTCATCAAATCATGTTTTTCATGTATGCATTTCTACTATCAAAACATGCATTTTTAAAAGGGATCCACTCACATATACTTAGCCGTTGAAGAGCCACGCAATTAGCGGAGACATAACGCCACAATAAATTACCCCTAAGCACATAAAGGGTACATTTAGTCAAACTCTACTCAAACAACATATTTTGGGAAAACGGACATCGAAAACGAGTTCAGGACGTCAAAATTAGCCTAGAAGGGGTCTCGAACGAAAACCTAAAAAGTCAACCCTAAAAGTCAACCCTAAAAGTCAACGTTGACCCTTGACCGATCAAAGCCAAAGTCATGGTCAGTCAAAGTCAATGGATTCGAGTCGGTCAACGGGTCAGGTCAACTGGGTTTGGGCTTAGACTTTTAGGTGGGTTAGGTTTAGGTTAAGGGGTTGGGCCCTAGGATCATTGGTTAATGGGTTTAGGTTATGGGCTAAGGGGTTTGGGTTTGAAATTGGGCTGGGATCATAGGCCGGCCCAAAGGCCCCTAGGAAATTAAAATGGGAAATTGGGTTTGGGTTTAGGGCCTTCGCAGAAAAAGCCCAAGGCATTCAATTTAACACACCAAGGATAAAAACAAAAGAAAAAATAAGGGTTGGGTTAGTTTTTCAAGGGGCCGAAGGCCCTAATTTGTTCGGCCCAAAGGCCTGGTTCGAAGGGGTTTTGGGGCTTGAAAACCCGACCTAAGTTCCAATTGTGGGTCGCCGGACCCATTTGAAAGAGAATGCCGGAATTCGGCCAGAAACTAGACAAATTTTAAATGCTCATAACTTTGCCAATACTCAACGAAATCAAGTAATTCAAAAACGAAAATCATAGCTCTCGACGATACAAAGAGAATGGTACCTCACACGAGGTCTAAATCACCGTGGTTTGGCCGAAAAATACCTCGAAAGCCGCAGAGGTCGTCGAAAATTGGGTAAGATTCAAATGGATATAACTTCTTCAATAGTCAACGAAATTGGGTGAAACAAAAAGGAAAGTTGTACTTAGTGAGACGAAGAGATTGATACCTTGCACGCCGGCCAACTCGCCATGGTTTGGCAGAAAATTGCCCCGAAAAAGGTGGTGCTCATCGGAAAACTGGGGAAGTTTTCCCTCGTGAGGTTCCTACGTCCAAACATCGACAACACTTCTTAAAACCACTTCCCAACATACAATAAGACATGATCTACAACTTTTGGATGAGGTTCAAGGCTTACCTTTGCCGGAAGAGGAGGAAACTCGCCGGAGAACTTCGGTGAACAGTGTAGGGTGAGATAAAATGAGGGGTTCGGGGTGTTCTCTTTCGATTCTAAGCTCACTAGGGTGTTAATGGAGATATTGATGTTGTTGTTGTGGTGTTGAATAGCTCAATTGTGAGATAAGGGTGCATACCTTTCCAGGCCTCGGCAGCATTGATGCATTTTACGACAACATGCATAACAGAGAGAGAAAGAGAATTGGTGAGCCAAGAAAGTACCATCTGGTCTTGCTGGATCCATGATTCGAAGAGAGGGTTGATGGTGTCAGTGAGTTGACCTTCATCATCTAGTAGGAAAGTAGGTGGACATTGAGAGGTGCCATCAACAAATGGCATCAAACTTCGACTTTTAAGTAACGAAACAAATTGTGCACGCCACAAAGGATAATTGTGACGATCAAGTTTCAGAGGAAGAAAGGTAGAAACATCAGTAAGGGCAACGAAAGAAGCCATTGTATTTGAGAAATAAATTTGTCATGAGACTGTAAAAAGGTTGATACCATATAAGAATTGTGCTCGATGATGAGCTTATATTGATTTAACATTTATATGGAACTTTACAAGTAGAGTTTGAGTGAAGAACACAATCTTCAAAACAAACCAAAAGATAAATTATAGAAAATACAAATTCAAAATATTAACACACTTTGAATTCAAAATATTCAAACAACTAAAGGATTGGATTGAGGCGAGCCTTCCTGTTGACTGATTCCATTGTTATCTCCTTTGATTGTTGTGGTGGGAACTGAGCTTTTTAAACTTGGTTTATTAGATAAAAGTATTTATCACAACTAAAAATGTTTCTGATTAGGTTTTTATCACAATTGATCTTCAAAATTAGACCAAAATGGTCCTGAAATAGAGAATCCATCAATTTGGTCATTGAAAATAAATTTTGCTAATCAATTTGGTGTTTTCGTTGAACTTTTTGTTAGTGTGCTAAAGTGGCACACAATGGATTTCACCTGTCCAATCTTATGGTGTCACGTAGACTAATCATAAAACCAATTTTTTTTAAGAAAATTAAAAATTAATTCCTATGGCGCTATATGATTAGATAGGTGGGATTCATCGTATGCCACATCAACACACTAATAGAAAGTTTAAGAGAAAGGCAACGGAATGACCAAATTGATTTGCGAGATTTATTTTCAAGTACCAAATTGATTTGCGAGATTCATTTTCAAGGACCATATTTATGAATTATGTATTTCACGGACCATTTTGATTAAAATGTTCAATTTCAAGAACCAATTGTGATAAGAATCCTTCTGATTACGTTTGACAAAAAAACTTATACAAAAAATAGTTGTAAGCATAAGTGCTTCTTACATAAGCACTCTTAAATGAGCCAGCTTTCTATTAAATTCAAGTGTGTTTTAATGACACACTTAAAGCACTTCTTTATAAAGCGCCTCATTACCTAAAAGTGCTTTTAGAGAATCCCAAAGTGCTTTTAATGAGTCTTAGGGATAGTTTGGGTTGCTGTGCTGTGAAAAAAAAAAATCATTGCTTTCAATAGTAAGGGTAGAACTGCTTATGCTGTTTTGGATCCTTAATTTTGACCAAGAACACTTTTTTTTTGTTTTCTTTTGTTTTTTTCATTTACCAAACACAATTTTAACCCAACTTTTTTAAAAGCTACTTTTAAAATAATTTCAATAATGTCAAACAAACAACTTTTTTGTTCAAACCAAAAATACATTATTAGCCATGAAAGATAGAAAGCACACAGGAATAAAATAACCATTAAACCGCGTCTATTTTCTTATTCTTTTGTTTTTATTTTATAATTATTTTTATTTTTATTTTTTTCTACTTCAAAACATTTCAATTTCACTACAAAAGTCTCCTAACAAAAAGGAGTGAGGATCCGATCCGTTTCACAAAATGGAGCTATCACTCTCCGCGCCACCCAGTATTCCAACCTCTTCACCTACGCCACTAAAACGGCGGGTTACCTTCGCGGTTTCTCGTCCGAATCTCACACCCGCTCCGCCGTCTCACCGGCCATCACTTTCTTCACTAAAACCAAACCACCTCCACCGCTTAAAGCTCAAAGCCATGGACTCTCAGAGAGCAGCTCCGCCGCGCGCCTCCCTGGCCGAAAACAACGGCTCCACTCTCACCGATACCCCAACCCCAATTAACTCAGGTAAACCTTAACCCCAATCCTAATCTCAATCGCTAAACTGGGTATAGGAATTTAATGGGATTCCTAATTGCTGGTGCAATTTTTGCAGGGGCTCGAATTGGGGAGGTTAAGAGGGTGACTAAAGAGACCAATGTCTCGGTCAAGATCAACCTGGACGGCACTGGAATCGCTGAATCCAGTACTAGGATTCCGTTTCTTGATCATATGTTGGATGTCAGTATTCTTTTTCTCTTAGCTCTCATAATTATAGCTCAAAATTCAATCTTTGGTGAAAGGCATTGATGTATTAATCGTGTTTGGTTTGTTTTGGATTGATTTTACTTGTTTATTTCAGCAACTTGCTTCGCACGGGTTGCTGGATGTGCATGTAAAGGCTACTGGTGACATCCACATTGATGATCATCACACAAATGAAGATGTTGCTCTTGCTATAGGAACGGTACGGTAGAAAGCAGGCATCTTGATGTTTCCTTTGGAAAATTCAGAATCTATTGTCTGCCAGCTTGACTTTTTGGATTCCTCTGTGTCTCATAGTAGGCAGCTGATTAAGCTATTTTGCTTGGTCTGCAGGCTTTGCTTCAAGCACTTGGCGATAGAAAAGGAATCAACAGGTTTGGTGACTTCTCTGCTCCACTTGATGAAGCACTCATACATGTTTCACTGGTATGCTCTACGTCATCATTTCTGTAAGATTAGTTAGTGATGTTAAAATCTTAAGAGAAACATTTATACTCATTTGAATGTTTAAGAACAAATTAAATGCTATCAGTTGGTATGACAGGTTGATTAAAAACAACTTATGCATTACAAAATATAAACTTACGGCTCATAGGCCATAAATGACCCCTTCGGAGATTTTGGTTATTTCCGGATAAGGTTTGACGCCAAACAATATGATGAAACTGAGTAGATTATCCTTAGGGTTGAGCTTCATCATGATAACTTGATTTCACATACTAGAGTTGACTCTTGCGCCAGTTAACAGGAGTATCAGAGTGCTATATATATAAGATTCAACTGTCCTTGTTTATTCAAAAAGTGAGAAATATTTACCTAACTGGAAGTTTTTATTCAGGATTTATCTGGCCGGCCACATTTGAGTTATGATCTCCAGATACCCACCGAGAGGGTTGGCACATATGACACTCAGGTAGTTTACTTTAAGACTTAGGCTTCAAATTCCTGCTGCATATGTTATCCATCTGTAAAGCATTGCTGGAGATATTGATTTAATATATGTTACTCTATGGAGCTACATGAGATCTTTTCTTTCTATTTATTTTTGGAAATATTAGGCATTCCAATTTACTAATTGTTGTTGGAACTGTCCTTTTCATAGCTGGTGGAACATTTTTTCCAGTCTTTGGTGAATACTTCTGGTATGACACTCCACATCCGGCAGGTAACATACAGAGCTGCTTAAAAATCTTGAATCATCCAAATATTTGTGTGTTCACGGACTAGAAGTGAACTTCAACGACCGAATTGCCATCTCATTGTGCATGATTTGATATCTGTACTTTGAGCATAGACTCTGCGTGATTTATTGAGTTTTTATACTTGTAATTCTATACTTGTCAGTGACTACACCATTTATGGTTTTTATTTTGATTTCATCAACTAGCAGGGTGTAAGTTTTCAAATAGCTCCAGTTTCTTGTTTCTGACAGTTTTCTTCTTTTGGTTGGGCACAGCTTGCTGGAAGAAATTCTCACCATATTATTGAGGCAACCTTCAAAGCATTTGCAAGGGCTCTCAGACAAGCAACAGAATCTGACCCACGTCGCCTGGGGACCGTGCCAAGGTTTGAAATGAACTTATCTCAATTGAAAATGAGTAATAGTCTTTGAATGGATGGTTTATTGCATTAATTAATTTGTTTTTTTTGGACAAAATTCCATTAATTCTTTTAAATGCACTTTGGTTAATCAACCATGTTGGTCAACGTTGTTTACTCTTTGGCATATGAAACTCAATCTTAACTTTGTGGAGCCTATTCTGCGCAGTTCGAAAGGTGTCTTGTCACGCTCTTGATGCTTCATATCCCGTCTTCCATGTTAAGCCGCAAGCAAAAAGATCATCAGATTTACCAGAGTGTCAATGGTTCCGGTGACGGATGCCACGTTGTTGGTCTATGTCTACATGGCAGATCGTTGTTGTATATGTAACATTATAATTGGAATAAACTTTTCCGTGTTGTTGATTCTATGTAGGAACAAAACCAAAGATTTTGATTTATTAAGAGTTTAGTTTGTTCCGAAACTGAAAGCAAACACTTTGTTTTCTATGAAAATGTGAAGGGAAAGGAGCAGCATAACAAATAAGGAAACGACGGATGATTTGTTTTCTATGGTATAGCTTATGTTAACAGATCAGTCTTCCGACTTCCAATACTCCGATTTTCCGAAGGATATAGCTTATGTAGGTGCCAGGAGTTGGCTGCAATCCCTTGTCCAACGTTTCCACAAAGTACATCTTTATAGTCTTATTGTTCCAAAACGTCACGGTTACATCGTACTTGTTAAATGCAACTTTACCCCCACATGTAAGGCATTATGAGTCAACAATACAAACACGCACAGAGTAGAGCAATGGTGGGTGGTATGGTGCTAGCCTGCCAGGGTTTGAATTCATGGAGCAGCGGATGTTGTTGTCATTGTAGTGCGTGTAAATGAATTGATATCCATTTTGGTTTGGAATGTGATACAAACGATTAGGGGAGGCATTCCAACATCAAAACTCGATAACAACAGTAAACGCGATATTATATACATTAAACTTTCCGTTAAATGATGATGTGACATAAGCAATCGGGCTATTATTTGTCATATTAGCTCATGCTAGTGCATACACATACAATTATTAAAATATTTTTGCTAGCTTCACACAAATGGTACGAATAGGAAATTGGAGCGTCAGTCTATCAATTTTAATCAAGCTTTGCTCTCAGAATCAAAAGTCCAAGAGTATTGGTCCAGAACTTGTCATAATGTGAAACAATGATCCTTTTGAGGTTACAACTTTTGTCTCTTATTTCTCTTTAAAATGTTTTATTTTGTAAGACAAAAAATGTTTTATTTTGAATGAAAGTTGTAACGGTTGCTATCCAAAATAATGATTACTACACCTTTTAATAAATTTAGGATACAAACAGAATCACTTTGCATCCAAAGTCTCCACATACAATCCAAAATAATGATTACTACACCTTTTAATAAATTTAGGATACAAACAGAATCACTTTGCATCGAATGTCTCCACATACATTCAATAATTCACACATGAAAACTTGGAATCAAAACTCTCCATTAGAACTGAAAGTAACTCCTTGGCGTAACGCGGTTATCTCTTGCTCGACTAAACAGAACGAAGATCAGAATTAAAATTCTACAAGCCTGAACATGAGTAATGAAAGAGAACAGGAATATGGTTTTGATTAGAGAACACTAAACTTGTTCGTTACAGCATAATTAAGCGATTAGTTGCAACAGTCAATACGAAAGCATATCTGGAATTACTAATCTTAATGGTACCAGCAGCAATTACACTAAACTTTCTGCATCAGACAACATAACAACAACAGCAGGCCAACCATATTCACTGCATGATGTTCTGAAACCTGTTTGTCAAAGAAGAAACACAAGGCAGGTGAGACTTGTCAAACAGAATTTCCATGACCCCTTCGACCACTTCACCTTTTCTTCCTCTCAGCACCTCCCTCACAGCGCCCTCGTTAGGCTCAAATCCATTGCCCTTCATCTCATTCAGAAACTCCCTTCCCTCCTCCACTCCCTTGTCCCCCTGCCGAGCAAAGCCCTCAAACACTGCTGTGTAGGTACCCGCGTTAGGATGCATTTTCTTCTTCATCATATCCAGCAAGTTAACCTTGGCAGACTTAAACAAGTTAGGATCAGCAGAGAGTGCCTTGATGAGGACACTATAAGTGTAGAAGTTGGGAGTGATCTTAGCCGCTAACATGCGAAGGTAGGCCTCGAAAGCTCCCTTCATCTTGCCAGCATCAACATAGGCCTGGATGATAGCTGTGTGCAGGACAATGGGGGGATATATGCCTGTTTCAAAGACCGGCTCGAAAAGCTCAAGGGCCTCATCCCCATAGCCGTCATCTACCAGACCACTGAGCATATCAAATCCAAATTTCATGACTGCCTCTCGATTGGTGCGCCACTTCAAGAAGATTTCTTTCATCTCCTCGTCATCGGTTCTGGTGGCATATTCGAACATCCTGAATGTATCAACTGCATCTTCAAGGTGGTCGTGGAACTCAAAATAACTCGGATTGTCAAGCAAAAGACCCTTATCTTTAATTTGCTTCATAAACTCTCTGGCCTCCTCTATCACCTTCGCCTTGCTGTCCGATTGGCAGGCAATGGCCTCCATCACGAGGGTATAGGTACCGGAATCAGGCTGCATTCCCTTCTCAAGCATTTGTAGAAAGTACTTCTTGGCATACTGAACAGCAGAGGGGCAAGGATTATGGAAGGCGAGCATCCTGATGATCATATTGTACGATTCAGCCTTACATGGGATCCCACATTCTAACATGAGCAAGATTGTTCCCAAGTCTTCTCGGTCGCCTTCTTTGCCTGATACTGCAAAAATGGGTGCAATTAGATATTGCAATGGCATGTTAAACAATGACAGCAAGTAAGTTAGATAATCTGGAACGAAATCTGGAATTGAGTGAAGGACTAAACCAGCTACATTAGGCAGACTCCCTTTTTTATATGGATCGAAATCGGTTGCTAACTACATAGCATAGCGATCAATCAGTACACAACAGAACTTGGCTGTACTCACCATCTTTCTCCTTTAAGACTTTTATCCCCTTAGCTAGCACAGCCTCAGCAAACTCCATGTACTCCCTGTCCTCTGCCTTAGCTCCCTTGGACACGGCTTCATAGATATCACTATTGGGTATTATTCCCTTGTCCAACATCTCCAGAAAGTATTTCCTGGCAGTCAGAACGAAATCCAGGTCAGCAGTCAGTGCCTTGATCAGTATACTGTAAGTGTACAAATTGGGGTCGACCCCATTGGCCAACATGTGCTTGTAAGCCTTGAGAGCACCCTTAGCCTTCCCGGCATTGGCGTAGGCCTCAATCACGACAGTGTGGATGGCCACGTCGGGAATTATTCCCCTCTTGTTCTGTTTATAGAACTCATTGGCTTGATCAACTTGGCTGTCCTTTAACAAACCATGATACATTCTCCATGCTTCTTCCACAATCCAATTGGTGCGCATCTTTTCAAATGTTTGTTGCATTTCCTTATCATTAGTGTCTTTGGTTGCATCTTCAAACACCTTCCTTTGACGAAAAGCAGCTTCAACTAGGCCTTCAGTGATAAATGGAATTTCCTGATCCCTCTCAGCCGTATGAAAATCATCTGGAGGAAGCACAAACCCCTTAGCTTTAATCAGCTCTCCAAACTCCTTTCTGTCTCTGCCCTCGTCAAGTTTCTCAGACAAGGCAATGTAGGTGCCAGGAGTTGGCTGCAATCCCTTGTCCAACATTTCCACAAAGTACATCTTTGCAAACTTAACGAAATGTGGAAAATTAGGGTCCCTGGGGGAGCAAGAAGCAAGTGCCTTGATGATCACGGTATAGGTGTACGCATTGGGGGTTATCCCGTTTGCTAACATCTTCAGAAACACTTTGAAAGCATCACTGGTTCTTCCGGCACTGGCATAGTAGTCCATGACGGCGGTGAGGGGGACAACCTTGGGAACAATACCACTGTTGCCGGCCTGGGACCCGATCTCAGCGGCCACGTCAAGGTTGAGGCCATATCTGGTCGATTCGACAATCATCTTGATTGTCTGTGCACACATGCTTTCTTGGGTCAACATGTTCTGGAGGATTTGGTCGTAGTCTTTGGGGGCGTATTTCATATCGTCCAACTGCTCCAAGTCGCTCAGAGAGAGGTTGCTGGTGGTCTTGGAGGAAGACGCCATTACTGAAAAGGAGAGGAACTTGTGACCGAAAACAAGGAAAAGGAGAAGTTTGTCAGCCAAAAACTAGTGAAAGAAGAGAGCTTTGTCACCAGAAACTAAGAAAAGTAGACAACTTGTATGCAAAAACAAAGAAAAGGAGAGAGCTTTATGTCAGCACTGTAAATCCATATAAACCCTAACTCATTGAACAAACGGGATAATCTCAAATCTTTTAGCAAGATCTGGAAACTAAATGTATAACCAAACAAGATGATGAAAATACACACCTGATGCTTGTGAGGAAAAAAAAGCAGAGAACTTTGGAGAAAAAACAGAGAAAATGAAAGCTTTTGAGCAAAAACTAAGAAAATGAGAGAATTAGTGACTAAAAACTAAGAAAATGAGAACTCTTTTGGGCAAAATCAACGAGAAAATGAGAACATTCTTGGGAAAAACCAAAGGAGAGAATTAGTGACAAAAAAAACTAAGAAAATGAGAGGACTTTTGAGCAAAAACCAAGAAAAGGAGAGAATTAGTGACAAAAAACTAAGAAATGAGAGAGCTTTTGAGCAAAAACTAAGAAAAGGAGAGAATTTGTGACAAAAAAAACTAAGAAAATGAGAGAGGCTTAGAGCAAAGACACAGGAAAGGCGACAACTTTGGTGCAAAAACATAAAAAATGGAAAGCTTTTGAGCAAAAACTTTAGAAAAGGAGAGAGCTTTTGATTTTATTCAACAAAACATAAATCCCAAACAAAACGCTACAAAATAAGTAAATCATTAACCAAACCAACAAGAAGAGAAGAGAAAAGAAACAAACCTGAAAACGCTTCCGGTGGAATGGATTCGTAGCTGCTGCGAGTGGAGCTTTTAGTATTTGGAGGAAACAAAGGAGAGAGCTTGAGAGGAATTTTTCAGTTTTTTTTCAGTGAAAAAAAAAATGACGCCTGAAAGATGAATTAAAAGGAAGGATATGTGATTTTGGTTCCAGCTGGTTCAAATGAGGAAAATGACTTATGTGCAACGGGTATTCCAACACGGTGATTTTCCGGATCAATAACGCAATGCCATGTATAAGTTTATATTCACATAGCATTATATGATTGAGTCAGAATATAACAGTCGCAATATAGTGCTCCCGTTTGAATTAAATGATTGCCTGTGTGTACGATTGAATCAGCCATACTGACCAAAAATTAAAATCAAAGGAGTGGTCTGGCTTCCCAATAATATCGTGCCATGGAGCTTAATTAGTTGTAATTATAAGTAAAATTTTGTTATATCTAGTTTGGTTTGAAACGTGATATGAGCGATATTAAGAGGAAATCTGAACACTAAATCTCAAAATTCTTTCAATATTAAAGAGTAAGTGCTGATTTAGTTCTTAAATTGCTATCTGAGGAAAAATTAAGTTTCTAAATAATGATTTTTGGGCTATTATATCCAACTAATTTTCCATCAAGTTAAGTTACGTGACTTGCTTGTAATACAAAATGAATTTAAGAACTCAAATTCTCTATCCCAATTGGGAGTAAAACAACAAACAAAGAAAAGATTAGAAAGACCATTCTAGCAGTTAGTTAGCAACAATTTACCAAAAATAAACCAATTTTAATTCAATGAATCTCCCAAAAACAAGAAAAAACGATAGAGCCAACGCCAATGGCGCGCGAGGCCTACCGTTCCAAAAGCCGTCCATGCCGAGGTAGATGCTTAGAGCGAGTGTAACAAGCGCTCATCTTCCCATCAATATAGTCAGTTATTTCCTGGTTTGAAATGTTACTTCAATTTTAACCTAATGCCAAATGCACTATTCTTTTCGGCACCAATTTTGAACAGCACTCAAATTTGAACAAAATCAGAACCAAATGTGCTGGTGTCCGTGATCATGAATCATCAGTGGTAAGTCTACAGAATGTATCATCCTGCAACTTTCTTTCTGTTTCGTAGCAGCGAACATCAACCAAAACTGCAAACAAACACGGCTTATTTGATCCTTTACGTGTGTTTGTAGATTCTTTTATGGCCAAGATATATGAAAAATGAATGATATTGATAATTTACAGACATTGACTACATTGAGCCTGTTGCATAAACATTCTCTGCCTATATATTGAGCCTGTTGCAAAACCAACCCAAAATATTGACGCGAGCTTCGTAGTTCAGCATTTCACTACACCAATTCCAAGAACGATGAAAGCATTTTACCGACGCCACACCATTGTTTTCTCCGCAAGTAATGGCCATTGTTTGTGATAAGATATAACGCAGCTTCAAGGGGACTCTTTTTCTGGACATCCTGTATGGAGGAGGAAGTGGATAAATAAATCAAACACCCACAACTACAACAGATTTGAGGCAAAGTTTGAGCTTCCCACAAATAATAGTTCTTGAGCTGCACGTATTCGTAAAAGTTGGAAGCATTCCGACAAGGTTTGAAACAAACCATGAAGGTAACTTGAAGTTAAAACAAGATGAAACATATTCCGCCAAGCTACGGAAAACTGGAAAATCAGCAAAGAAAGAAAAGAGGAATATGATTTACACACCATTCACATAAAACTGGAGAAAACAATGGTACAAATTAAACAATGCCAACATTCCTTCTAGGCTTCCACCATATATTACCCAATTATACATAAGAGAGGAAGCAATATCGATCTCTGATGCCCCCAATAAAGGCAATGCCGTCACAAAAACTCTTCGGCTGTGTTCAAGTCATTCAATATTTCAGACTTGACTTGTTCAGGCAGTGGAGCAGATGGCCCTGCCTTGGAGTAAAATCCGGCCAACGATCTTATTGCTTTCTCTATCTCAACGTAAGATTCCTGCAATAGTGAACCGAAAAGACTTAGATTATTCTTAGCGATCAATCAACTAACACGACAATTCCATTCCATTTCCTCGAACATACACACAAACTAATTAGCTATATACACCTCTTGAGCCACCTCTTGTTGTCCTCTCCAAGTGCTCAAATACTCTCGAATCGATTCCTTTGCTGCATCTGCAGTTCGTCGAAATTTAGCATTATCCTTGGTGTCTTCGTTCAGCGATTCACGCAGTGTCTTCACAACCTCTTTTGCCGACTTCAAGTAAGCCTTTGGCAACACTTTTCCGGACTTTGTTTTCTCATTGGGATCGAACAGCGTTTTAAGAGCACCTATAACTCCATCATTTTCCTCTTCGCCATTTGACTTGTCATCAGCCCAAACCGGCGATGGTGCTAAGACATTGCTGATGGTTAAAGCCGTTGTAATCGAAGCACCAGCACCGGTTACAAAATGCCGGCGACTTGATAAAGCTTCTTGAGAGGGTAGCTCACACCTGTACTGCACTTTATCTGTGATGTTGCAAAACAATAGTCAAAAGAGAGAAAGCTGGCTATTGAGTTTAACTCGGGCCTTGCACAAGGAAGCATTATGCAGTCGTATATCAACAAAAAAAATGACGTGAGGAGTTTTTGGGTAACCATTTCTGTAAGAAGAACTAAGGTCTCCATTTCAACCCTATCTTCCACATCAGGATGTGTGGAATACGAGGATGGAATTCGTCCGCAACCACTGGGCTACCCCGTGGCGGTTAAAGTTTGTAACCAGTCTCATTCGCGTATATTTCCCAGAGAACTGCAGCCTAACTACAATTCAATTGGTACAGAAACAGCAGATATATGAAACAAACTTACACAGTTTGGCAGGTTTGAAGGTATTATGTTCCCTCGTCCTGAAAATTACAGGGAGGCAGATCTTTTCTGCGAGAAGAGCCATATTCTTCTTCTTCAACTAATCTCAACCAAATGCGAGAAGAGCCATATCCGCACAGAATTTCACCTTCAGTGGGAGCAGCTTGTGGAGTTTCTGCCTCAGCTTCTTGCTTCCAAACTGCGCGTCTCCTGGTTTATCTTATTGCCGGTGGATTTTTATCCAATAGGACACGTCAAGATATTTTGATAAACGTGAAGGGTACAATGGTAATTTGATTGCTCCCATTGATGCTTTTATATTTGCACCCCTAAACTTTTGCAAAATTGGCTATAGAGCCTAAAACACTAAACACTATCAAAAATTCATAATTACTACTTGATGTCTGGTTATTTTAACAAGTCTGCTATTATCAAGAGAATCGTATTTGTCTCCCATTTTAGTACAAGTTTAATAATTAAGCGAGAGCGACAACATTAGCTAAACTGAATCTTTAAAATCCTTTACACTCTGTTTTGATGAGGCAATATAAAAAATCATGTTGGCAAAAAATTTTTTTTGTTTCAGTCGATCATTAGGAGAAAATTTTGTGTTGGGGTGTTATGACCACACCATTTGAAAAACCACTCTTTATAAAAGGATATAATCTTCATATATTTTAGTTTGACAATCAAATATAGCCTTGTATGTGAAAATTACTCTAATAAGACAACCATACCAAATATTTTGTCTTGAATTGCAATAGGCCAAAGATTTGCTACAAAGTCTACATGCCATTGTAATTGACAATAAAAATTTGGGGTACCAAAGAATAATTAAAAAACTATGGGGTGAAATTGTAGTACTTTAGAGTAACTCCAGCACAATTTTTTAGGCTGGCCTAAAGTCCAAAAAAGAGGCCGCCACCCCCAAAAATCACTCCAGCCGAGCTTAATAGGCTAGCACCCAGCCCAAGCCAGCTTCTAGACTAGCCCAAGACATGCTGAGCAAAGGCCCTACCTATGTGATGTCACGCTAGCGTCAACATGACGTCGCATAAGCCCACCGATTTTTTTTTACATCAAGTGTGTGGGATACGCGTGTGAGTGGGCGCGCATTGGCGACAGGAAAAGTACAGCAGGGAGAAGCCACGTGGCTCATTCTTGGCCGTTGGATTTCCAACAGCTTGTTTTTTGGATTGTTGGATTGCCAACGGTAAAAAAAAAAATTAAAACCCAACGGCTAGTGACATGACGCGTTCTAGACCATCCGATCTTAAGATCAACGGTCCACTGTTTTGGCCCAAAAAAAGAAAAAAAAATACAAAACGATTAGAACTATGAGCGTTGCCCACATGTCCACATCTGGGGTATTGGATTTGAATCTTTTTCAAATCCAACGGTCCAGATTAATTAGCTTATTAAAAATTGTTTAAAAATACATTAAAAAAATTATTATTTTTTTCTATAAATACCTAACCATCATTTTCCACCTTACACCACATTTCAATATTTTCAACACTTTCAACCAAAGCTTTCATATACTTTTTTTTGTGAAAAAAATGGCTACGTGGAAGCTCATCGAAGATGTTACGTTGTGTCAATGCTAGGTTCAAATTACTCACAAAAGAGCACGTTCGAATAATGACACGTGGCATGACAAGATTGGTTGAAAATCTGATCGAAATCTTGGGAGTAGGATTCTCTCCCCTCTTTTTTTCCTTCCCCTTCCCTCCTCTTCTATTTGAACGGTCACGGTTAAGCCATGTCAACATCTTATACTAATTTTTTATAGCAAGAGAAAGACAAAATAAGAGAATGTGAGAGGAAGAGATGGAAAGAGGAGGAAAAAGAATCCTAATCCGAAATCTTGTCTAAATTATTGTAAACAGATAGTGACACGTGGCGGGTCGGGATTGTTTGAAAATCTTATCGAAAATCTATCCACAACATAGTGCTTTCGGATAATGACACGTGGCATGACAAGATTGATTAAAAATTATATACAAAATTAAAACTAAAATTTTTAATTATTATTTTATAAAAAAAATTAATAATATTTTAAATGAACTAAGTGCCAGCATATTTTTTAGGTGTGGAGATGCATTTGTGCCAGTGCATTTTTTAGGGGTGGAGTTGCATTTGGCCAATTACTGTTTATTAGGGTCAATCATTATTCATTTGAGTGAATTAAATAAGTTGGGTGCCAGTGCATTAGACCATCTTCAATGGTTGGGCTAAAAGCCAAATATTTTAGCCCAGAAAATTTAGCTTTTAGCCCAGAAACTGTTTTTCTGCTCCAACCGTTCTAGCCTAAAATTTTAGTCCGGGATTATTAAAGAATGAACTTAGGCTATTTTTTTTTGTTAAATTAAATTTTTAAAAAAAAATAAATATGTAAACTATTGTAAATTAATTTTATGAACATTTTAATCTAAAAATATTTAAATTCCGATAACTATTGGGTGGAGTCCACTCCGATTTCTGGGCTAAATTTTGGGAGGAATTTGGCCTTGGTTTAGCATTTAGCATTTAGCCCAAACTTTCCCCTTGGGTTGGAGTCGGTTTGGAGGGAAATTTTGGAGGGTAATTTGACTTTTAGCCCACCATTGGAGTTGATTTTATTAGGGCCAAATGTTCATTGAGCAAAGTATGATAAATCGACGGCTAGAAAATCATCACTAAGTAATGCACGTAGGGGTTCGCCGCAGCATATAATTACCATCTAGGGTTTTAGGCATTACGAACTCGCTTAAATCTGATGCTTTAAAAACCATCTTCTTCTTCACAAGCACCCTCTCACCCGGCGCGCCCGCACTCTCGCACACACGCACGCAGAGTTACAGAGAGCAAAGAGCCGCCAACCCCTAAGGTCGCAGCCATGGTTAGTTACTCGCTCCGATTCGATCCACTCGCTTCGACGTCTCCCTTCGTCTTCAATCTTCAACCCTAAATCTTAATCGGATTTTCCTTTGTTTTGCAGTCTCTCGTCGCAAATGAGGAGTTCCAGCATATTCTGCGTGTGCTGAACACCAACGTGGATGGAAAGCAGAAGATCATGTTTGCCCTTACCTCCATCAAGGGTATCGGCAGACGTTTCGCCAACATCGTCTGCAAGAAGGCCGATGTCGACATGAACAAAAGGTTCGTTTTTTCTTAGTTAGTTTTATCTATTTTCTGAAAAAAAATTCATAGATCTATTTATTCGATTTGATTAATCATTTCGGAGGTCTTTTTTTTTGTATGCAAATGCAGTCAATTTAGTTGGGATTTGTTTGTTGCTCTAATTTATGATCGTAGAAATTATCTAACTTGTGTACCGCCATTTGATTTAGCATGAATTTAGTTTGTTTTGACAAAAAAATTACATCATTTTATAGCTGGAATGTATGATTTATTTCCAGTTCTAAAAATCGGGTTGAATATTTGTTTGCAATTGTAATATTTGAGCTGATTTTATTTGCAAATGTAATATTTGGATTCACCCAATATTGTCCCTTATGCCACTAATCAGTGATGTGGGTTCGCAAAAAGCGTTCCTCTGTTTTATTTTTTTCATGTTTCTATTACTGTATGATTTATGCTTATGACAATCTAGTTCATTGTTTTGTGCACACAAAATTATAATTTGTGTATATGGGTCTAATTGGGAAACACTGCAGGGCTGGTGAGCTATCTGCTGCCGAGCTTGACAATCTGATGACTATTGTGGCAAACCCCCGCCAGTTCAAGATCCCTGACTGGTTCTTGAACAGAAAGAAGGACTACAAGGATGGTAAATACTCCCAGGTGGTCTCCAATGCTTTGGACATGAAGCTCAGGGATGACCTTGAGCGCTTGAAGAAGATCAGGTCTGGTTTCTAGTCAATTCTCTTGTTGTTCGGTACCAGTTGTATTCTTGTTTTGAGTTTATGATATTGTTATTGTTTGGTAAGTTGGTATGCTCATTGTTTCGATAGTTGAAGTTCTATACCAGTTCTATTGTTATGCATTTTTGTCGATTGAGAACTGTTCGTCATCTTAATTGTTCTGAGTCATGTATGTTTGTGGTGCTAAAGTTTTTATCATACCATATGATTGGTTGGCGGTATTGTTCAGTAGTTGACATTTTTTCTACGTTGTGCTGGCCATTTCTCCTAAATCATAGAAGGCTAACAACATCATCTTAAATCCTGCCATTTAAGAAGACTATTGCATACTCTTTCAAGAATTACAATTGTAAGCTTTGACTTTTGTTCAGTTATTAGTTAGTTGAGTATCACAAAGGCTTAGAGGTTACATGTACATTGTGGCTGTACTGTGATCGACGCAAATCGGTTTGACACAGTTTGTTTGGCAGTGGCTTACAGCCACTCCCTCTACCCAATCTCATTCTGTGGTAGTCAACTATATCTGGCTTTTCAGCTTTATAGAATCTTCTGCCCCTTTGTTGAAGCTCAAGACAAGGATATTCCTCTAATATAAGTATTTATCTATCGGATTTTTACTTGATGCTTGTTTCTAATGTCTTTGAGTATATATATATGTATTACATATTGAGATCATTTTAAAGATTGTTGTGATTGGAGAGTGACTGATGTTTGTTTCTTGATGTTCTTGATGTGCAGGAATCACCGTGGTCTTCGACACTACTGGGGCCTTCGTGTGCGTGGACAGCACACTAAGACCACTGGCCGCAGGGGAAAGACTGTTGGTGTCTCCAAGAAGCGTTGAAGAATTTTACCACCTGTCCCGGATGTCATGATGCGAAAGTTGTGTTACTTTTTAAAATACCCTCTAGTGTTTAGCCTCGATCGACTTCAGTTTTGATGGATTAATGCAGTACGTCTAGCTGTCTTTTATTTATATTCCTTGATTGAGACTCTGCTTCATCTTTGTGTTTGAGGACGGTATGCTGTGCAATGGAATTCGATTCTCCATGTTAAGTTGATATTCTCAGTTATCTGTTCTATCAAAAGTATTTCGTTTGAGTCCTCAACCCGATTTGATATTCGGACCTTCCGACCTTGTTCCGAAACTCAAACTTTAGACTTGGATATCAAGTCTTGAATCAACTATCAATTTTGGGACTTGAATGTCAAGTGTAGACCACCAGAAAAAGATTTGATGTTTGAGGTGGGATTTGAAGTTCGATGTCAAAATCTGCTTCTTTCCAACCAGAATGTTAGATTACTAGTTCATCGTGCGCGAGACTCAGAAGTGGAAGAAATTTGCTTACAACTATTTTGGAACTCGCATTAAACTTTACGCGCTTTCTAAAAGGTCTAAAAAAAGTCATCACCAATATCGGTCGTACATATTGTAATAATCTCTCTCTCTTCGGTCTGAATTAGTAAGGCTTGTTTGCTATTGTTTGTCTTCATCAAAAAAAAAAAACAAAAAACAAAAAAAAAGTGCTTTATGTTAAATTTCAACAATAAAAATGTTTAGTAAAAGTAAAATATTTTATTTATTTTAAAAGTCATGGCTTATAGGCTGCTTCTGCTTTAATAAAAAGCGGAATTAAACTTTTAATTAATATTTTAATTCTTGTAATACCATCATTATTTTGTAAAAATCGTTTTGTTTAATTTTTTAACTCATTTTATCTCTTAGAGAACAAAGGAACCGCCACCACCTACCATTACAAATACTAACCTTACAACACCACTACCACTACTACCATTACCACCACCATCACAATTGCCACTAGTCTCGTTGTCCCCGTCGCCACCCCGCCACCATTGCCACCACTGCGACCACATGTCACGCCTTTATCCTGACATACGTCCATGATCTACGCGTGATGTCATCAAGTATCCATATATCCAACCGACCCTTTCCGAGATATGTACAAAGCATAATTCAAGATTCGAATTGTGTAGTAATTTTCATATACTTTATGGCTAACGTTCGACCACATAACAAGCATGCAGCATCACGACTAACATTCGACGATGCGCAACATAAGTCTCTAGCCATATTGGTCAACGAGTCTAATCATAATGACAACAATCACAACCAACATCATTCCACAATCACATCAATCAATAACACATACCATATACCGAAATTCAGGGCTAAAGCAACACAGTTCGGCCGAATCTTACATCTCTGAAGCTGAAATCAAATCCAAGAAACCAACAAGACAAATGATGCGATTTCGGACTACTCAACCAAATCCATCAACATCAGGTTCCGGATCACTCAACGGAACCAAGACACCAAAGGGGATTCCGAACCACTCAACAAAATCCAAACCAGGACACGATTTCGGACCACTCAACGAAATCGCGAAGTAGAAGGGATTCCAGACCTCTCAACGGAATCCGAATGGATACGATTTTGGACCACTCAACAGAATCGCAGAGTACAATAAATATTAGACCACTTAATGAAATCCAAGCTGGATACGATCCCAGACCACTCAATAGAATCCAGACGGAGCAGGGAACCGGACCACTCAACGGAACCCTAGCGGAAACCCAATTCCAGATCATTCAACGGAACCGAGCGAAAGTCCAAGGAATATAGCAACGCTCAAAGAACAAGACATGAAACACGTACTTAAAATACAAAAGCTCAACGAAACAAGAAATGGAACAAAACACAAGGTACACAATTAGAACGACTCAACGAAACGAGAAATGAAATAATAATACAATATGTGAAACAAGTCTCGAAGCAACAAACCCTATGACAATAGGTTCATGGTCCATTACTAGCCTCACATTTTATTACATTTGGCCAAACATACAGATCAACCACACTCCACAATAAGTTCAATACACAAGTCAAATCACATAAATAAACAAGCATAACACAATGTGATGCCATCAGTACGTAAAGCGAGGTGCACGTCAATCGAGGAAGATACATCATCATTCTGAGCCAAATAAGCTCCATGGAATCTCAACAACACTTTAAGATCAGCAACACGCTAGAAGAATTTGTGCTAGCTGACTAAAAAGTCAATCGTCGACCAAGGTCAAGAGTAGGGTCCACAACCTTAGAAATCTAAACCGGAAGATCCGCCTATCAGATTTTTGATCTGTAACTTCCCAAGAGTCTCACTACTCTTCTAGAACAACATACTAAAATTTTGATTACGATCCATCGATTAGATCTCTGCCAATCGCTAAGATTAAGTGAAGGTCAACGTTTGATTTTACAAACTTAGAAATCCAATTTGGGAAGATCCGTATGTCGGATTCCCGATCCGTTAGTTCCTAAGGTCCTTAAATAGTATGTACAATAATCTTTTAAAGTTTGGTGACAATCCAACGGTAGATCGTTAATTCATATTATGATCAATTGGCATAATATTCAATACTAAGTTCAAACTATACAATCACATTAAAAGGATATCAAATCTAAAATTAGAACATCAAATTTAACTTAAAAAGGCAGTGTCGGCCCACTGGCCACATGCCGCCACGGGTGGCGATTTCCAGCGAACGAAAACTCCAAATTCCGATCAACACTAAAATTCACCAAATTTGCAAAAATGTACAACTCAAAGAGAGGAAAATTTTTAATACCTAGGCCAAAGCCTACTTCGGCCGAGAAGTGGCCAGAAAATCCCTTGAAGCGTCTAAAACCCCGAAAGATGTGAGCTTCGATTCGTCACCAAAACAAACTCCTCCAATGCTTGGGCCTTGCTCCTGGGGCTAAGAGGAGTCGTTTAGTGGTGGTTATCGACAATGAAGCTTGCCAAAGCAGCGGATCTCCGCCGTGGGTGTCAGAGATTGTTCGTCATGAAATCGTGTCCAATTGCCTGTCGAGTTTAGGTGGAAATAGAAGCTTAGACGATGTTGGGTAGATTACAGGTGGTGGTGAGCCTTGGATCACCGAAAAAATGCTAGAATCATCGTCGTAAATTATGGAGGAACTGGGTCATTGGGTCAAGGGTTTTGAGATTCAGTTCCTATTCTTCTCTCTTCCCTCATTTCCCCTATTTTCCTTCTTTTCTATAATTGGGCAATTTTTCCCCTCATTTCTCTCATCTTCATTCCATCCTAGCCACACACATGGCACCAGATCAAAGTTCCAACAAATCTAGAGCCTTCCAGATTAATAATTAAATGACCATTATGCCCCTAACTTCGTTTGTTTATAACTTATTCGTTATAGCTCCAAATTACGCCCCGTTTGCGCCCATGCATTTGTATCGACACATACTATCCAAATTTGTAAAGAAATCAGAAAAATCATGAAAGGATCAAATACATCCACGAAGAATCCCGTCTAGCCCACTAAGGGCATTTTCGTCATTTTACTTATCGAAAAAAAATTATACACCGCAAATACAAATATGTTGGAACTACGAATAAAAATACTAAATATGACATACATAATTTTAAACAGCGGGGATTTCACATTACATCTACACCCACAACCATAACCGCACTATTGACTCTGTTGCTACCCTTACAACCCTTGTTACTTCTACACCCTATCTGCCACACCCCGTAATACCACCACCATTGCCACTACCATCACCATTTCCTAAACCCTAAACCCTTGAATGAGTCCTCATAATTAGTTGTGTTAGCATTGGAAATGCTCTAACAACTGACTAACGCTATCGTTCCTCTTAAAATACTGTTAGTTTGTAATGTCATTAAAAAAAGAAAAAAGAAATAGAGTAATGCTATTCATCCATGCTTTTGTACCATATTTATATACCACCTTATGTGGCATCTGATGTGGACAACCATATCATTTAAATCAATCATAATTTTATTTAAATTAAAAACATTTAACAAACCAATAATTAAAAAAAGCTGGAATTAAATGATGATTGTGGTATACAAGAAGTCTTTTTCGTCCTTCCTCAGTTCAATCTTGCTAATTATTCTATTTCTTTCTTCATGCCAGTTCTTTCACGCCTTTTTTTTTTTCACACCAGTTTTTTTCACTTTAGTGTGGACTACGACTTGTGGAGCCAAAAATAATCAAGAAGAATATGGAGGTGATACATGAATTTTTGGGTTAAAAAGACAAGATTACCCTCGAGGCACACCGGGATTTCTAAGCACAAATAATGGGCAATCATCCCTCAATCAAGTCAAAAGTGCCAAATAGGTATTTATTTATAACCTATTTCATCCATCCCTTATCATATTTTCTCCACAAAGTAACCCCTAAATGATTCCTTTTTTATTATATTAATTAGCTAATTAACTGATTAATTATTTTGCTAATTAAACACAAATCATGAACTTCACCCACAAAACCATCCAAGTGGCCGATCCATCTCCTCCCAAGGTGGCCGACCACACCCCTATACAAACACCCTCATTTTCTCCAAAACTCAATTCCAACTCCTTGCAAAATTCTCTAAATTCTCCAAACACTTTTCCCTCAAAATTCTAACTTTGGCATTGGAGGTTATTTGGCCAAAGCTCCCCCTCCCAAAATTCATCGTGGGTGCATGAGGCTCTTGGCCTTGACCTAAGGTGTTATTTGTTTTGTAGGTGCAATTTTGTCCAAAAAGAAGAAGGCGAGAATTTGCATCCACAAATTGATGCTTTCATTGAGAGTTTGATTCACACACTCGAAAAAGACTCTCGCATTCAAAGTTTCTCGTTTCTCGTTCACTCGTAAATTTTTCATACTTTTTTATTCCTAGAATTTTTTAATTCTTTGAATAGAGGTGAGGAAAAAAATAGAATGATGGGAAATTTGAAAACCATGACGAACGAAACTTCCTACGTTCAAAGATCCAAATCAAATGATGGAGGACAAGACATAGCCCTACCAGGACAATCCACGAGGCTCAAAGAGATGGCAAAATGATCAACTTTGCCACCACAGAGCACCACCACCATGGTAGCCACAGGGACCACCATGGTAGTGAGGAGTACGCCAACTCCATAGCAACAAGCCCATGGTAAGAAGCGAGGCAATGACAAGCCTAGGCCCACACCACTTTGCAGCAACAAACCTAGGCGCTAGAAGCAGCCCACGCCTCGTTTACTTGATGCACAACCCAATCTGCAGCCCACGTTGTAAGGCAGTCGTGCTAGGCCTAACACAAACAGGCCCACGCCATTACCTCAGCAACGCAAGCCCAAACAGTTAAGGCAGGAGAATTAGCTTAGAGCTCGTAGGCCCAAGGCCAGCGCAGTCTCGAGCAGAGCCCAAGCCCAGCACCCACACGCATAACACGCGGGGCAATCCACACTAACTGCCCTGCTCTACCTGCACCGATGATCCCATCCTGCTCCCATGGTCCAATCCGAGGCCCAACCCACTCTCGTGGCCTTTCAAGCAGCCCAAATTGGTCCAAGATTTCTTCAACCATCTCGGCTTCAAATTTCTAGGCCTATGATTGAACCAGGGGCATTTTCACCGCATTTCTTCGCAAATTTGACATCCCAGCTTAAATCTCGCGCCTAGGAGTCCATTACACTTCCACTACTCAAGGAGATGTATTTTGTCCAAGTTCTTATAACTCGAATGCTGAACAACACTTGTCTCGACAAGTCATAAAGTTGACAAGCGTCCTCGCACATCAGACAACCTTAGTGAATCATCTCTTATAGCGTACCAAAATGCAACGTGCCCTAGACGAGGTTTCTCAAAGTAGGACAAGGGCAGACGATAAACCTCTCTAGCAGTGTCCCAATAAGCAGCCACTTGACCAGTCACGAACTCAGCGTTCTGACGGAGTACACTCTGACTAGGCCCCTGAGATAGCGTATACTCTTGTTTTAGCGTGCGGAGGAGCATGCACTCTCAGTTAGGCCCACAGATGAACATACACTCATGATTGGGGCCATACTTCGATAATCAACATAAGCAACCTTCCAGGCGACGTGTTCATTTGCGGCAAGGCCCGCAAATAGCATCCTCCACCTCACATTGGAGTAGGCAGCACAACGGACGAAAAGAAGCAATCACTCAATCCTGTTCAAGTTTAACCAGCAGCTTGCGAGTTACCCTGCTCATCTGCTAGAAACATACCATATGCAACTACGACATAAACGAGCTGAACATATGGAAGAGCATCCTAGACCAGCAGGTCATGACTGGGGGTAGTCGAGAGCTCCACTACCCCCAACAAAGGTAAATTCAGGAAGAAGTAGAAAGGCTCCCGACCGAGTGATTGCGCGATTTCCAATGCAACGAAGCTATTGACAAGGCGCTTTGATGAAACATAACTAACATAAGCGGGTCATCTTTCAATGACAAGATCAAGCAGATGAGATTATCCCGCATAGATTGTCGAATTTTGACAAAGATCGAGCAGCTCAGCTTAATGGCGTACTTGTGGTAAACGAGTACTAGAATGACACACCAGCCTAACTACCGAGAACCGGGGGCAGACCTTGTTCACAACACTTCAGACGATTCAATACTGAAGCATCACATCACATGCCTAGTGGTCTAATTCCTTTTGTTGTGCATAACCTGGCCCAAGCCAGCCCCAGCTATGCTTTCAAAGTACTGTTTACCTGTTCCACAACTTTCGGCAGCCATTGATCTATCATCATGGCTCATAACTGTGCCAATCTTGCACTATGACTCCTAGCCATGCCGATCTTACCCTGTGGCTTGCACCAACCAAGCCTCAAAAGGGCACATGACGAAACGACTAATAATGGCCCAATAATTCTGGTAGTAGCTCACTGCGCTTGCACCCTTACGCAAGTTCCAGTGCGAGAGGGTAAACTAATTGCTCTCCAGTGCGATAGGGTAAACCAATTCCCCGACACCCATATGGGTAAACTTTCAAGTGTGAGAGGTTAAACTAATTGCTCTCTAGTGCGAGAGGGTAAACCAATTTCCCGACACCTATATGGGTAAGCTCTCTAGTGCGAGAGGGTAAACTAATTGCTCTCCAGTGCCGGAGGGTAAACCACTTCTTCGACACCCATATGGGTAAGCTCTCCAGTGCAAGAGGGTAAACTAATTGCTCTCTAGTGCAAGAGGGTAAACTAATTCTCCGACACCCATATGGGTAAGCTCTCCAATGCGAGAAGGCCACATAACTCAAAAGATCGAATGCTTGAAGACCAACTAAGCAGCAAATAATCAGGGGGCAACAACCACTTTGCACTCAACAATTCGCTCAGCTGACACTTCATCTTCAGCAGCTTCATCCTTGATTGCTCCATCTACAACAGCTGAGAAATCAAACTCAAGCATGTTTCCTCATTTTTGGCAAGCAACCTAAACCTTAGCCTATGCTGAGCCAATCATTGGCTTCAGTCAAGCTGAGCAGCATAAGTAGTGGGCCCTGCCACACCACCTCCTTGGCCAATGCCAAGCTGACTCCTGGCCCTTGCTAGCCATCGTGCCGCATCATCCCGACGGCTGTTCCTTGGTAGCACTACCCAAGAAGAAGACAAGGAGAATTAAGTTTTTCATACACCAGTGCGGCATGGAAAAGACAAATAAATCAATGGAAGACAGTTATTTGCACGGGAAAGCAAAGAAGAATGCTAGGGGAAGGGGAACAAATATCTCTAGTTTTTTCTCTTTCTTGTAAGGACAAATAATTGCCCTCCGAAGTTGATTTAATCCCTTACTTAAGGTAGGCTTATATAGGCTTTGGAGGCAATTTATTTCCCTTTCCTAGAAGAATCTAATTCCAAGTCCAAGTAAGAATTTGCATCAAAGCTGAAGATCTCTACACCTGCTACCCTATCCTATGAATAGCCCAGCAGGTATAGAGACATTTATAGAGCCAATTATAATCAAGAAAAATATGGAGGCAACACGTGGATTTTTGGGTAAAAAGACAAGATTACCCTCGAGGCACATCGGGATTTCTACGCGTAAGCAGTGGGCAATCATCCCTGTCACATCCCGGCCCGGGGCGGAACACTTCCCAGGCCCGCTTCACCACCGTAACACGATATTGTCCGCTTTGGGCTTACCATTCCTTCACGGTTTTGTTTTTGGGAACTCACGAGCAACTTCCCAGTGGGTCACCCATCATGGGATTGCTCTGACCCCCTTCTCGCTTAACTTCGGAGTTCCCATAGAACCCGAAGCCAGTGAGCTCCCAAAAGGCCTCGTGCTAGGTAGAGATGGGAATATACATATAAGGATCACTCCCCTGGGCGATGTGGGATGTCACAATCCACCCCCCTTAGGGGCCCGACGTCCTCGTCGGCACATACGCGACCAGGGTTAGGCTCTGATACCAAATGTCACATCTCGGCCCGGGACGGAACACTTCCCGGGCCCGCTCCACCACCGTAACACGATATTGTCCGCTTTGGGCTTACCATTCCCTCACGGTTTTGTTTTTGGGAACTCACGAGCAACTTCCCAGTGGGTCACCCATCATGGGATTGCTCTGGCCCCCTTTTCGCTTAACTTCGGAGTTCCCATGGAACCCGAAGCCAGTGAGCTCCCAAAAGGCCTCGTGCTAGGTAGAGATGAGAATATACATATAAGGATCACTCCCCTGGGCGATGTGGGATGTCACAATCCCTCAATCAAGTCAAAAGTGCCCAAATAGGTATTTATTTATAACCTATTTCATCCATCCCTCGTCATATCTTCTTCACAAGGTAACCCCTAAATCATTCCTTTTTATTATATTAATTAGCTAATTAATTGATTAATTATTTTGCTAATTAAACACAAATCATGAACTTCACCCGCAAAACCATCTAAGTGGCTGGTCCATCTCCTCCCAAGGTGGCCGACCACACCCCTATATAAACACCCTCATTTTCTCCAAAACTCAATTCCAACTCCCTTACAAAATTCTCTAAATTCTCCAAACATTTTTCCCTCAAAATTCTAACTTTGGCATCGAAGGTTCTTCGGCCAAAGCCCTCCCCCCCCCCCCCCCAAAATCATCGTGGGTGCGTGAGGCGCTTGGCGTTGACCTAAGGTGTTATTTGTTTTGTAGGTGCAATTTTGTCCAAGAAGGAGTCCAGAAAAACCCTCCAAATTCACACTACTCTCACTTGAATTACCTCCGCATGAATGGTAAGTTCACGGAGGCCGTCACCATTCTTGACTCCATTGCCAAAAGTGGGTTGAAGGTAACTTCCACTACTTACATGAATTTACTTCAATCTTGCATTGACACCAATTATATTCAATTGGGTCAGAAGATCTATGAGCGTATTGATGTAGTTGAGGAATTGAACTCGTTTGTTGAGACAAAGTTGGTGAGCATGTATGCGAAATGCGGGTTTTTGGATGATGCGCCTAAGGTGTTCTACGCAATGCTTGAGAGAAATTTGTACTCTTGGTTGATCATGATTGGTGAGACCAAAGGTGGTGGAGCTTTTTTACTCAATGATGAGAGATGGCGTTTTGTACTATGGGGTGAAAAAAATGGCTTCTGGTGTGAGTAGTGTGAAGTGGATACAAAAGTATTGGCGTGGGTGGTAGTCCACACTAACGTGAAAAAAATTGAGGTGAAAAAAATTGGCGGGAAAGAACTGGGGTGGAAGAAGAAACAGGAGAAGAAGCAGAATTGAACGGGGAAGAAAGAGAAGATTCCTAGTATACCACAATCATCCTTTAATTCCAGCTTTGTTTTTTTAATTATTGGTTTATTAAATGTTTTTAATTTAAATTAAATTATGATTAATTTAAATGATGTAACTCTCAAATGTATATAAATGTACTATAAAAATATGGTAATAATGGCATTACTGAAACAAGTAGGGAGAAAAATCTGTCCTATAAGTTCAAAGGCTTTTCCGAGTATGGAAGATTCGAAACAAAAGGCCCGATTGCGCATCCTTACAAACAAAACTTATAAAATAAACTCCCACCAACAGGAAGCATCGTCTTCCTCATCCCTCTCCCACTTTCACATTCTCAATTCTATCTCTCTCTCTCTCTCTCTCTCTCTCTCTCTCTCTCCCCCCTTCTTCTCCTATTTAATTTCATTAATTTTATTCATTTATTTTCCTCCAAATCCCTATTCCCAGGATGGCCGGAGGTCCCCATCCCAAGGGCCCACCACTCCACAAGCCATCTTCTTCCTCCGCCCCCAGCCGCAAATCGCGCTGGGAATCCTCCGCCAACGCCGCCGCCCCCACCGCCAACCCCAGCAACACCACCATCACCAACAACAAAAACCCACCCGATCCCAAATCCTCCAAGACCAAAACCGGCCCATCCCCAAAACCCAGCCCCGCCCATCCCAAGCACCCGCCTGGCCCCTCTCCCGGAACCGCTCCATTCCCTTTCTCCGACCCGGCTGCTTTCGGCCCACCACCTCCCCCGGTATACGATTTCCACATGCTCGAGCGCCGGACTTTTGTTCTTGCCGATGGTAGTGTTCGATCATACTTCGCTCTCCCACCCGATTATCAAGACTTCCCCCCGCCCGTGAACCCGCCTGGTCGGTTCATGCCATTTGGTCCCGATGGATCGGGCGGGCCGGGTCCGGATTACTGGAATTCGCTCGGGCTCGACGGGCGTGGGCCTGCAGAAGGTCCCGCTAAGAGGAAGTACAGCGGAGAAAAGGAGCAGAGGGATAAGGCAGAAGAATTGGCAATGCGTCGGCAGCAACTTATGCAGTATGGTAATCCAAATGGGTTTTCAGGGGGTCCCGGAGGAGGTCGGGCAACGAGTAGTCCCTTTCGGCGGGAAGTGGGCGGCGATGAGGGGAGGGCTAACAAATACATGAGGGTTGGTGGTGGTGGTGGAGGTCATGAGAGTGTGGGGTTTAGGCAAGGCGGTGGTGGCGGAGGTGAGAATGTGGGTCTGAAGCATCTTCAAGTTGATCAGACTGCGTTGAAGAAGGCGTTTCTTAACTTTGTGAAGCTGATTCATGAGAACACGCAGCAGAGGAAGACTTACTTGGAGGATGGGAAGCAAGGCCGTCTGCATTGTCTTGCTTGTGTCAGGTCTTGTGCAAATTAATTGCTTTAACTATATTCTGTTCTTCGATTATGTTCGTTATTAGTATTGGTATTCTTTCGTTGAGTTGGGTATCGTTAGTTTATACTTGGGACACGAACTATTCTAGCTGTTAACCTTTTTCATTTTTGTTCTTCCCTTTGCCATAAGAAGCCATCAGTATTCAACTAGCAGTATTTATGCGTTATTGTTATCGAATGGGAGCAAGAAACCTTTTTGGAGCTTTAGGAAACTTTTCGTTCATAAGTTTTCGGCGCTTACAATGCATTCAATTTGAAGGAGTATAGTGAGTTCAAATACGGTCTAGTTAGACTTAAGAGCGAGAATTTGTCTTAAGAGATGTAAGTTGTATATACATATAGAGTTCGTTTTCAAATGCAAGTAGGGGTTATTGATTATGGTGTTTTTGTTGTTGTTCTTGGCACTCTGTATTTGGTATTAGCAATTTGGTGAAGTTGAAGGATAGCCATGTTGACTTCTCATAAATGTTTTTTTTACTCTGCTTTTGCGCGAAATTATCTTCTTCTAGGATATAGTACCTCCCACCTAATGTTTAAGACATGCTTGCACGAGGATATGCGCTTTGTGCTATGTGCTGTGGTAGGCTTCAAGGAAAAGTCATTTCACATTTGGTGGATAATGAAGACTGGTTATATCCTTGAAAGCGAGAATTGTATTCCCTTTTGTAATTACAAGGGTTGCACTTGTTTTGTACAAGACTATAGGTTTCTGAAATCTTGCGTATTGCTTTAGTCGCTAAGCAACAGCTTGTTGCATGGTGCTTCTGTTTATAGTGTATCTTCAAGGAGGTTTTTTCATGTCTTGGTATTTTAGCCCCTATATGGAACTGAAAGTTAGTTGTAGAATCTATTCTATCATCTCTGAACTTTACCGACCTAACTTTTTTGATACTGATGGTCTGAGTTGTTTGATAAGCTAGACAATTCTTTGAGGTCTGCAATTCTATATATCAACTATCAAGTGAAAATTGTAGCAAAGTGTGCTTATTTGGCTTTGAAGGCTGCAAGGCCATGTCAAAGAGTTCAATGGATGTAATGTCAACAGGTTAGAAGCTTTAATGCGTTTCTGATGTGAATTTCTAGTTCATTGGTTATCATTAGTGATAATTATAAGTTAAGACTTGTGTGCGTACCAATGTTTTAAAAGGCTTGCCTCAGGGTGCACCTAGGCATCCTCTGAGGCTGGGTGTGAGGGTTGCCGCCTCTGTTTTGAGGGAGTGGGCGGAAGGCTTCGACGGAGCCGCCTAGGCGGCGGAAGGCGTCACGGGAACCGCCTAGGAGTGCCTTATGGGCTTTTTTTTTTTTTTTTTTCTCAAACTCCCAAACCCAAATTTTGGGTTGGGTTTTAACTGCCTCATACCTCTTCCTTGCTCTATCGTCTCTCTGCCTTTCTTTCTTATTTTTATTTTTTTATATAATGGATGTGTGTTCTGTCTACGTGCATTGTTATATGTGTGCTCATTGTGCTTTTCATCCTCTATTATATATATATTTATAATATATGTGTGTGCTCAGGGTAATTATTGATTAATAATCTTCTTCTTTTTTAATATAATATATGTGTACACTCAATGTATGTATTAAAAAATTTAGGTCCCATGAGGCTTTGCCTCATGCCTAGGCCGGGCTATCCCTCGGACGCCTCGCCCACGCCTCACGCTTTTAATACATTGGTGCGTACACACATATGATGTTTCTTTTCTATGTAAATTCGTATAGAGTTGGTAAGTATATTGTTGTGTGGGCATCTGATGGTGACCTGATGCAAGCCATTCAATGCAAAGTCAAAAAGTTTGTTTGATATCCTTTAAAATGATAAGTAGGTTTGTGAGAATATTAGGAAGTTGCTTGCATATGTGAAAAATTCATGAATGATTCGTAGGAACACTATATATTTGTCATTACTGTGCTGTGGGCATTGTGAATGTTTGCTTAGGATTAGGAAGAGTCTTAGTACTTTAGGCTTTTCCCAGATTTCTTTTAGAGATCTATGCTCCAACGAAGTTTGGAGTATCATTGGGTCCTTTAATTGCTGCATAAGGGGATGTATATTTTCTATTTATAGATTAAATAGTCGCCAACAGAGAGGAGAGAACGAGTGGCTCCCAAAGTTCGTTTTCTTTGCATGTTATGCTTTTTGTAGATTTCCCTTTAGAAATCTAGACTCCGACGGTGTTTGGAGAATCATCAGTCCTTTACTTATTGTTTAAGAATGACTTGTTATTTATGTATGACCTTACTATCAGTATATGCCCATATTATCTTATCATCGTTTATAGTGAAGGTGGTTGCTGAGTATTCCTAAAGGTTTGGACATATTTGGCTGTGATGATTTGTAGGTTTTAGGACTATTAGTTGGATGGTAGCTCAAGCGACCTGGTTGGTTTAGCCTAAAGCTGATTGAGATGAGCTTTTGTTTTGGTGTTACCGACTTTGTCAGCTCAGGCTAAGATTTAGATGGGCTGAGCTGGCTCTTATTTGACTCGGGCAAGTCTCAGTCCATCCCAGCTTAGATCCCTGATTATTCAGTGTAACTGAATGGAAGTAGGGTGTGTCCATTTGATTTGATCCATGCTCTGTTCCCATAAGAGCGTTGGTTGTGTTTTGTGCAGTTGTTTTAGATTGTTACGAGTGCTGCCTAACTTGTTGCAAAATGGGCACTAGCTCATTCTTTATGAGCTGTTGAAATCTAGAGGCTGAATTTGTTCGATTGGATCTTTGTTTTGGTGTTTTGGAATCATTCGAATCCAATTTGTTCCTTGTGAGAAGATGACAATATGTATACAAGGAAGCTAATGCACATGTGCAAGTTTGTTACTTAGCAGGATTTCGGTAGTTAATAAGAGCTTATACTTTGAATTGTATTCATGGTGCATCAGTGTACAAACTGGTATGCTTGCTATTTCAGGATGAATCCATATGCTAATATCCGATACTATCTTCTTCTTTTTTCCTCTGGTCTCAGATGATGCAGAGTAATACCTAGGATATTATCATTTGGTGTCCTATTTGTTATGGAATTAAGATTATTCTGCATCATTACTGAGGAGGAATGGGTAACCTTGTTCCTATAATATTTAGTTTCCTACATTATCAGGCCTCTAAGTACTGGTAACTGTTTTGCCTGCAAGTATATATTTGCTTGCTCATTTTGAGAAGAACTTGTTGCTTTTTAATTACCTTGTATTGTGAGGAATGTGAGGCTGTATTACAATTGCTACTTAATACTTGTTTGTGACGTGGTTTACTAGATGTCACTTGGTTCCATATTCTGTTCTTGTTTGCTCAGCTTTTGTTCTTTTGTTGGGTAGTGGATATAGTTGAATGGCATTGGTTACGCAGCATACACCATAACTTCCCTTTCAAACTTCATGCTTTCTATCCTGTCATTGGCAGAAATAAATATGGAAATGTGCAAGGCATGGATCATGTAGAAAATGCTTTTGAGCTTATTTTATTGATAAGGATTCCATATGCATACATCTCCTTTCTGTTTCCCCACTCTAAAGAATCAGAGACCTCTCGACATTCTGTTACTAACTGGTTCAGATTGGTTGATGCCCTTGTTGACATCCAAGTTCTATCTTGAAAGTAAGTTGTAAAGGACTTTGTTGGGTGACATCTTTTTTACTATTTTCTTCTTTACAAATGTTTTTGTCCCATTTCAATAAGTTGGGTTTTCTTGCGGTTAGCTTTGCATTCATGTGGTTGGACTTATATTCAGTGGTATGTTTCTTGTGTGAACCGTACAAGAACCTCTTCTAATTGATTCTCTTCAAGTACTACTACCTCTATCTTTTTTGTTCTGTATAATTTTTAAACCTAGACCACATGCTATTACATCACATGGATTATTCCACATGATTCATTTACTAGAACACAAGGACTTTCTTTGTGTATGAGTCAAACAGACAATTTTGTAGGTTGAAATAATATGAATGCAAGGACTTAAACTATTACTTTGCATTGGTTGAATTTTATACCAGTTAATGGTGTGTGTGGCTCAGTTGACCTAGTCTGTTTGATAGAGTTTACTGTAGCCTAAGTTTTGTGCAAGGTTAGAGGCCAATTTTGCTTACATAAGGATTACATGAGAATTTAAAGTTGCTATTTTGATGTTGATGTCGATATTTGTTGTTTTCTTTTCCCCCCTCTGAAATTTTTGCATTAGTAGTGGAAATTAAATGCCACTGGCGTGCTAGAGAATCTAGTTTTCATTAGTTACAATAGGTGCATTTTTCGGCTTCTTATGTGCAGTAATTACTCCTTTGTTATATAGTGCTACAGTTCCCCGTCTAATTATATTGTTATCTATCAGCCTTGTGTTTACAAATTTATTGTGTATACTCAAGCTTACCAAATTATCCTTTTTCGTTATAAATTATTTACCTTGTGTCAAGGTCTTACATTAAGTGAAAATACCTAAGTATTATCATCTGATGGAACTAAGAAAATGAATGTTTATATATCGTGATATAATTATATCAGCTCACTAGGATATCCTTGGTAAATGCATCTTCTTCGTTGCCCTGTTGAGTTTGAAGTTGTAGGGTCGTAATGCTATCTAAGAGGTAAACCTGAAATATATTGTTCAATTCCCTTGATATGCATTATTTCAGGTCCTCTAAAGATTTTCCGGATATGCATAGTCTCATCATGCACAGTTACAACTCTGATAGTGCTGACATGCGTGTGGATCACTTGGGGTTACACAAGGCTTTGTGTGTTCTAATGGGGTGGGACTACTTGAAGCCCCCGGATAACTCAAAAGCGTATCAGTTTCTTTCTGCTGAAGCAGCAGCAGCAAATGTGGATGATCTGATTATGTGGCCACCTGTGGTGATAATTCATAATACAGTTACAGGAAAGAGTAAAGATGGCCGCATGGAGGGTTTGGGCAATAAAGCAATGGATAGTAATATTAGAGGTATAGTACTCCTTCATAGTTCATATTTGCTAATTCTTTATGCTTTTTCTATCAGAATGTTCATTGGAGAGGTTGGTCCCAGGTCAAGTACGTGCTCTGCGTGTCCTATTTTAGCTGTGAGCCCTTCCTTTGAATCTGTAAATGCATATAGTAGATTTGGAAGCCAATTTAATAGATTGAACATCTATATTGGATGGAGTGAACAACCTTTCTTAGATACAGCATACAGCGGGTGTATTTCATAGAATATTACTGCTAGGTTGCCCTCCTCCTGGGTAGTTAAGTTAAATAGTTTGGCATAGAATACCAATGTTTACAAAAAGCTTAAGCCATAGTATCTTGCAATGATATTCAAAGGGTTTACGGGGAGGTGAGATGAAAAGAAAAGCCACAGTCATGCTAGTACCTCTAGTTTTACCGTCACCCTTTACAGTTGATTTGATTGAGTGTGGAAGGGGAGGATCTAGCTGGTTCATGTGAATTAGTATTAGTGCCTCCCTTCATAATAGATATATTTATCTGGAACTTTTTTTTTATCATACTGGAATGGCTTTATATCGAGCTTAGTGGCATATATAGAATGCATTTGCAACTGTAGTTTGCAGGGATTATATGATGTGGAGATTAGTCGTTCCATATAATCTTCTTTTATGTGCGATAGTTGTGTTCTCCATGTGGCAATTGAAGTATGGTTGAGATGAGCATCTCATAAACGGAGCCTAATGCAGGGTTCCTAGTTTATGGACTTTATTATTATTGCATTGCTTTCTGATCACCTGGGAGGAGTTTTGATTGGATGAATGTCATTCTTTATTTTAAAATGGTTCTACCTATGGTTTGTTCTCTTGTTTGGGATGGTAGGCACCATGTACTCTTTTTGTTGTTGATGTCTAAGTCAAGTCATGATCATCCTTTTTCAATCTGCTGCGACACCCTGCCTTCTCCTGGATCAGTTTGACATTGTTAATCATTTTCTTACTTTTACTTTGGACCGAAAAATTCCTAATTTTCGTGATCTAGTGACTTTGGACATGCAATAACTAACCTCTGGGATCCAGTTCAGTCAAAATTTAATTAATTTATCTCAGTTGAGCCAGACTGTTGTACTAACTTTTAATCGTTTCATTTTCTTTACAGCCCTTCCTGTTCGATTTGATTTATTCATTTTAAATTTTGTGTGGTGAATGAAATAATCTTATGCATAAGCTTGGCTTTTCCTCATACCTGTACAACCGCTCGTAGTGTTGGTTAAGAATGAGGGAATCTGGTTAGGATTACCAGTGTTTCTTATCCACTATTTTGCTAGATTTGCTTGAGAGGTCTTAGCTAGTTTTGCTAGATGGTGGATTTCTTATCCACCATTTTTATTTTGTGTTTTTGTTTTAATAAATTGTCATCGTTTCTTCCCAAAAAAAAAAAAAAAAAAAAAAATTACCAGGATCTTGGGGCTTCCAATGTTAAAGATCATCAAGCACAAAGAATTCTAAAGGCTAAGTAGCTAGTTGTAGTTTGCTAATGTCTTGGTTGCATCTGAATTACAACTCTTTCAATTTGAATTATTTTTCTACTGTCTGCTGACTGTCACAAGTTTTCATGCCTCACCTAAACCTGTAACCTAATTGAAAACCATTGTTTTTAAGTGGTTTGGACCTGTTATCACATCTTTTGTCCCTCATTATTGGCAAATTTTGTCATCCTACATGATAAACTTCAGATCCTTCAAGTCCATGTACTAGAACGTTAAGCTAGTTCAGCCAAAAGTGGCAAATTGGATAAACCTCTTACTGAACTGAGACAACCAAGAAGGGGCACTGTTTGGCATAACGAGCAATGTTCTCTCAGATCTCCCATAATATAAGATTTCGGTTTGTACATGTGCTTAGCTTTTTTATTTCAAGTTCAACATGACGCCAGTTGTATAATTAGGATGGTGACCTTAGCCTTGGTTGGAGAGTTCCTTGTTGCGTGCTGCATTATACTAGGAATTTCAGGTGATACGTTGGGATTTGGAACCCAGTCAAGGAAAGTATGGGTGAAAAAGCAGGTGTTGCCGTTAACATATGATACTAACTTTTTTCTTGTTTGGTTATTGATAGTTTATCCTCGTTTTACTGGATCTTTTATGCTTATGCATGTTACAATTGATATTTGCAGTCTGTCATATTGTAATTACTTTGGTATATAAGCGTTTGAGACTCTACGCTTCTCTTTTATATATGTTTGGTAACTTCAGTTCATTGAGTCACACTTCCATATGGTATATTAGCCTTGAACCATGTTGGAGCATTTTGACATTGGTCTGGTGGTCATCGAACGGATAGGGCCATAGGGGGTTCTTTATGTCACTTTGGATTTTGTATTCTGAAGCTGTGTCTTCTATGGCTGTTGGCAGCCATTATCATGACATTTCACGTGGATTGATTATGGAGATTCCATTCTTACCTTTGATAATTGTAAGGGCTTCAATGTATTTATAACAAAAGTAGATCCTTTTGACAAGTTACATTTTTTCTCATGGAATTTCTTGCAAACAGATCTTGGATTTGGAAGTGGGAAGTCGAAATCCTTGTACGGTAGAGATGGTCATTTAGGTATGACTCTGGTTAAGTTTTCCGGTGACGAAGCAGGCCTTAAGGACGCCATTCGAATGGCAGAGTTCTTTGAGAAGGAAAATCATGGACGCAGGGGCTGGGCTCGTGTACAGCCCCCAATGCTCGGCAGTAAGGATGATGAAATGAATTCAAACCTTGTGAAGTTTGACGAAAAGACGCGGGAGAAGAAGAGGATCCTATATGCCTATCTCGGAACTGCTTATGATCTTGACAAAGTGGATTTTGACACAAGAAAGAAGGTCGTGATTGAAAGCCTTCGGGAACACAAATCATCCAAGTAGATTCCTGATCGCATTCAAGGTATTGTAGTTTGCTTCAATACATGTGCCATTTATTCACTTGAAGACCATATGATCCTCCTCATGGCCTTTTCTTTTCCTTTTTCGGGTTCAGGCATCTCATGGCGTCGTAGGTGATGGAAGCAGGTGTGTGCAATGCTAATATATGGGCAGCATTCTCTAATGTCGCAAGGCATGAAGACTGTCTGAATGCCCGCCCGATCATTCTTGGACGGAGTTTTTGCCGCTACAGGTTTGCTGTATGGGGACATAAAAGAAGAGAATTCAGTGTAGCAAAAGGATTTAGAGTGTTGTGCTTGTATGGTTTCTGGACTGAACAAATTGTATGACAGACAGAGAGTCACAGCAAGCAAATGATTGTTAACTAACTTTTTTGGGTGAATAGTAATTGTCTTATTACTAAGTTGTCGTTGAGTCTCTTTTTTTTAACTTGTTTGGTTGTTAATGGCAAAGATGTTGGTTGAATTATTGCTCAGAACATTTGCCATGGACTTCACCGTCACGTGCTCAATGCACGCTTTTACAAGTTAATCACGTGACACGTGACGCACAAGGGTTGCAGTGAACGCGTCACGGGGAAGTTCTCGTTACCGCTACTCAAGCTTGAGAACTTTTTTTCATTTGGGTGAAACACGGCCTGATACACAAATATTTAGAGTTGGTTTGGTATTACTGTGTTTTGAAAAAAAAATTGCTTTTATCAGTTGTGAAATAAAGCAGCAAAATGTTTGATAAATCTTTTTGTAAAAATGCTTTTGAAAAGAAAAAAAAAAGCAGTATTATAGTGTTTGATAAACTTTTATGTAAAACAGATGTGAATAAAAGTTGGTTTTTTAAAGCTGGGTTTTGCAGCTTTGTGTTTTTGGCTTTTTTGTCATCTAAAATTGTGAAAAAATGCTGAAGCTGAATGTTTACCAAACATAACCAAATATAAAAATGCTCCCAGCTTCTTTTGATAACTAATTTTTTCAGAATCATCTTTGTACCAAACTAGAGGTTAGTGTTATAATACAAGTAGTTGGAAATTTTATTTTTTTAAATATTCAGTTACTTGTGTTTCAACATTTTATGTATCGGATTGTATTTTCTATGTACGAAAAATCTTTCCTCAATCTTGATTCATTGAGTCCTTCGTCTGCTTGTTCATTATACAACGAATTTACACACAATTTATTGATATTTTATTCTAAAATATAAACCCTATAAAGTAGTAATAATATGCGACGGAGAAGGAATCTTCCCTCCCATACCTTAACATCACGAGTACAATCATATTCATATTTGGATTGTTGCACTTTACTATGTCACGCACTGATTGTCACTTAGTATTAGTATTAGAGTTTAGTAGTATATCACTTCACTTGTAAGTGAGAGGTTTTAGGTTCGATTCTCGTCAAAGACGAATTTGAACTATATTATTACTAGCTCATTATGAGGCCAAGCCCACTCCCTTTAGTGTAGATAATATTGTTTGTTAAAAAAAAATGTGATGCACTGATATACATGTACTTTATTGATCTTTTGAATGGTCTAAATTAAAACGAGGGGATGAGAGGAGAGAAATGTGAGATAAGAGAATTCAAATCCCTATGTGACGGTGTTACTATCACTAATAAGAAATATTAACTTACATAATATGAGTACACTGCTACAGTAGTGTTTTGTGTCAATGATGTTATAACGGTGCTTTATATCATAAATTGATGTATTCTAGAGTTTTTTTGTTCAACTTAATGTACATTGAGAGAGAATATTTGGGAACTTGTTATTAAACATTCACCTTAATTTACAATTATGAACTAAAAGTCTGCTAATTGAGGTCTTTAAAATTAAAAAAAAAAATGTGCATTATTGGTCTCTACTGCTTACTTCCACAATTTTTTGTTAATGCTAAGCACACATGGGTCTCGTATCCAATTTAAATATATGTCCATGAAGTTAAAAATTCTAAAATAATTTATGAATCAAAGCTAAGTTATGATTTAAGTTTTGCGGGGCTCATTGTATGTTCTTCCACGTAATCAAGTTAACGAACTTTTTTAATGCAGGAATCAAGATTTGGAGCACATTTTGTTATACTTAACAACTTTAATTAACAAATTATTTACTCATAACTAATTATAAACCACGATGGAAATGCATAAACCAACTTGATATTATCTATACTAAGCGGAGGGGATGAGTTTAGCCTCACAATGAACTAGCAATAATATAGTTCAAATTTGCTTTTGGCGAGAATCAAACATAAGATCTTTCACTTATAAATGAAGAAAAATATTACTAAATTGTAGTAAGTGACAATGCATAGACCAACTTTAAATTTAGGAAGCGGTTATGGAACATGATTTTACTTTATATAGGTATTATCTAGGGGTTTTTTGAAATGGGTCCAAAGTAACTAAAAACTGGACCTATTTCAAAAGTTAAAAGTCACTAAAAATTGAACCTATTTCAAAAGGTAGTCTATAAAATTGGATCTATTTCAAATTTTTCCTATTATATTATTATTATCTAATGGGTCAAATGTTCAATAAAAAAAAGAAATTATAAATTATTATATATCTCACTATATTTAACCGATTAAGCGGTGAATGTATGAAATAAATGATGTATAAAAAAAAAATGTTAGATAAATTAAGTTTGTAAATTAAATTTATAAATTATATGATGTGCTATCACACAATAATTAATACTTAAATAATACTCGTATTGTAAACCGTAGATAGTGAATGTGCGACTGATGACTGACTGATGAGGATCAGAACGCGCATGCGGTCATTGTTTGTTCACATGCAGGACTACATAACCCGGCATATGTCTTTCACTTTATCTGACTCATCCTCGCTATCCAATCCCATTCCTATTCCTCTATTCCCATCCCCATGTGTTGCTCTCAGTGGGCCTGCCCCACCCCCACCTTCTCCCCCAGCTTTTTCTCCCTTGATCCAACTTCGGTTTCCGAGAAAGCACAATCCCATCATCCAAACACCCCCTCATCCTACGTCAGCATCACCCCCTACTCCGACTTTACCAACCCCTAATCCTGCGCACCCTCCCCCTCCCGCTCACTCTAGCGCCTTCTCCCGCCCGCCAGCGCATTCTAGCCACCTTTTTGTGACGCCTCTACACGTGTCGATCCCTTCCCCCACCCACGTCAGCTCAATGTCTTCTTCTTTCTCCTGTCCACCGGCTGCCTAGCTTTAGCTTAAGCTCACAGCTCAAGCTTTTGCTTTTGCTTTCTCTCTCTCTCTCTCCCTCTCTCTACCCACCGAATTCTAGGGTTTCTCCTTTCTCTCTCTACCATATCTTCTTCCCCTTTGGCCGCTGTGCTGCACCGTACGACGATCATGGGGTCGATCCCCGATCCCGGCGAGTTGACTGAGTTGACTCCGCCGAGCTTCGACGAGTTCCAGCGGCAGACCTCTCTCATGACCAGCTGCACTCTCCTCTGGAAGGAGCTCTCCGACCACTTCTCGTCCCTCGAGCAGAACCTCCTGAAGAAATCCGAGGCCATCAAGCTCAAAATCCAGACTCTGGAGCAAGAGACCAAGGCGTCGCTCGACGAGCTCGAGCAGCGCGAGGTCACGATCAGGGACAGCTTCGAGATCGCGCTCGGGAAGGTCGAGAAGACCAAGGAGTCGGCGCTCAAGGTGTTGAAGAGAGGCCGCAGCGACGATGAGTACGGGGAGGTGGACGACGGCGAGGGATTGCTGATGAATCTCAAGTCGTTGTGCTTGAAGATGGATTCTGGAGGGCTCTGGAGGTTCGTGACGGCGAGGAAGAAGGAATTGGAGGGTCTGAGGTCGCAGATGCCTGTGGCTTTGGGCGATTGTGTCGATCCGGCGAAGTTCGTGCTGGAGGCGGTATCGGAGGTGTTTCCTGTGGACAAGAGACTGGAGAGGAGCGATAGGGGAAACGATTTGGGCTGGGCCTGCGTTCTGTTGCTGGAGTCGCTGATTCCGGTGGTGGTGGACCCGAAGATCGGGAGAAAAAGGCTTCTGGTGACGCGGAGCGTGAAGCAACGCGCCACTGAGATGGCCGAGACTTGGAAAGCCAGCTTGGAGGAGAGAGGCGGCATAGAGAACGTGAAGACTCCTGATGTGCACACGTTCCTGCAGCATTTGGTGACTTTCGGGATTGTGAAGGAGGAGGATGTTGATTTGTACAGAAAGCTTGTGGTTAGCTCAGCCTGGCGCAAGCAGATGCCAAAGCTCGCCGTTTCGCTTGGCCTCGCCAAGCAAATGCCCGGTGAGTTCCCTAATGCTCTAACTTGTTGCTTTTCTTTGATCGTGTATTTGCTACATTTTCTATGCAGTTCTCTTGCCATTGCTTGGTGTTGCTTATAGTTTATTGAAAATGTGTCAAGGCTGTATAATCTCTATATATATAGGATGAGGAAGTGGTGATTTTTCTACGTGGTTAGTAAATTTTGAATGAGACAAATGTGATTGATAACGTCATTTTATTTCTCGACAGCGGCTTCTATGTCGAAATTTCCACTCTTTCCAAATTTGTAGAATTTTTAACTAGATTCTTGTTGTCAACATTAGTCTTCAGGTTTTCCCAGGGTAATGTTTACCTTATACAAGAGATTTGACTGGTGTATGTTTTTTATATTATATTTTTCAGTAAGAAACAAAACCCACACATGACTGTATCTATATCCCAAATAATTTTTAATTCGAAACTCTGACCTATCTTTAAAATCAGAACATGTGGACGGTAGAAACTGTAGATAACCGGTGTTGTATGTGTACATGTTTTGTGAACAATCCAGAGCTAAATCATCTAGTTAACTTTGAATCGTTAATATTCTTTTTCCAATGATTTTAACCATATGATGGCATATTCATTGACCTTGTAGTAGTTTCGTAAAGATATTTTTCTGTTCCATCTTGCTATCTGTGTTACTTGGGACTGTTTTGGTATGGTACGTTATGTGTACAATAAGAGTGCAGCATTCTCCAATTTTTAACGTTTGGGGTTGTTACTATGTGCAGATATGATTGAAGAATTGATCAGCAGGGGACAACAGCTTGATGCGGTGCATTTCACCTATGAAGTTGGACTTGTGCACAAATTTCCTCCTGTTCCTCTACTGAAAGCTTTTCTGAAAGATGCTAAGAAGGCTGCAGCCTCTATTTTGGAAGATCCCAATAATGCTGGGCGAGCTGCGGTATTATTTTAATCACTGCATCCTATTCTTGTGCTTGATCTCTTATGTCGTTGCTTTGAGTCCTGAATATGTATCGCAAAGTGGTGTCCAGTTCTTTCATGTTTTTGGTTTTCTCTTCACTTTCTTTCTGCATGGAGAGTTTTTGTGCATGTGTTGTGTGCGTGTGTCACCTTCTGTTTTCCACAACTCCCTTGTCATTTCCTTCAAAGTTCCTTTTTCCCATTCCCCACTTCTCAAATGATTGGGAGGAGAGAAAGAGAAAGAAAGAAAAGGAATGTCAGAGGAACTTATACCTTTTTGTTTGCGTATAAAGTAGGAGCGGGAACTCCCCCGCCCTCACAAAAACACTCTCCCCTATAATGGAGAGAATGACAGCCATCAAAAAGATATATGCAGGATGTTAACCTCTTAACGCTTTACTAATTATGTGTGAACAAAATGTCAATGTATATATATTAAGCCTGGAAAAAGAGTATAATTATATGTTTTCACCATATTTCTCTCTTATATATCAAGCCTAAAGACAAAAGAGCTGAATTATATATTTTCACGGTATTTCTTTCTTTCCACTCACCGTTTTGAACATGATCAAATATCTTCCCCACAATTCTTAATAGTTATTTCATCAGGTTTGCTCCCATAGTGTGTATCCATGTCGGTTTTATTTTATTGTTGGAACATCTATATAGTTTGACAAGTTTTGGGACAATAAACTCTTCTGTTTGGTTGGAATATGAGTCCTTTATGCATCAATTAAGTGGTCAAGATGCAATAAGAATTTGTTTTGTCACCAATAATGCAGGCAGTTCATATAGAAATAAATGTAAGGTATTTTGAGTATTTGGTGCGCCCTTATCTTCAAATTGTTAATAATTTTTCTAATTAGGCATGATGGTATTTACGATGGATGTCTACATGATAAGGCGTTGTGCAATTATAAACATCCTTGTGGGCTTTCTGAATTTTTTTTGAAAAATGCCCCTAGAAGTGCATGAACTTAAGTTTGCTTCCCTCATTATTTGTAGAAACAACTAAACCTGTAAAAACCTGCACTTTCTTTGATCAGTAATCTTTTGTTATGCAGAACCTAGCTGGACGCAAAGAGCTGTCAGCGCTTCGGGCTGTCGTCAAGTGCATTGAAGATTATAACTTAGAGACAGAATTTCCTCCAGAAAACCTCAAGAAGCGCCTTGAACAGCTAGAGAAGGTGAAACCAGAGAAGAAAAGGCCAGTTGTAGTCCCAGCCAACAAGCGAACACGAGCTAACAACGGTGGTCCCATGCCTCCAGCCAAGGCCGGACGCTTGACGAATGCATATGTGTCTTCTTTCCCTACAACTCCTCCTACATTTGTCATGTCTCCGTCCCATGGCCAGTATCCTGCTGGGTTCTCACCGTACCATTCCCCACCCACCATGTATGGCAGCAGAAGCCCACCAACCCCTTATGCATACTCGCCTGAAGCAGCCCCTCCTCCAGCCGGATCATACCCTGGAGCTCCGATGAACTATCCTGCCTATGGGGCTTATGGCAACGGTATGGTACCAGCTTATCAGCAGGCTTACTACCGATAGACATGACAAAACTCGTTTGAAGACGGTAACCACTGATATGATGACTCCAGATCTCATCAACTTTTATAATGGCTTGTTTGTAATCACTAACCGTTTAAATGGTAGCGATGTGTGTGTTAATCATGATATTTCGTCGTGCTTCTTGCTTTGTCATGGTGGGAAGTTGTATTTCTAATGTTGATCAAACTGTAGTAGTAGGTCATTGTGAAAAAGTTGTTAGGATGACTTAAAACATCGACCCACCGTACCGCCACTGCTCTCAGTTTAGTTGTAGAAAGACTATTTACTGCTTCTCTGTGGTGGTCTTTATGGCTCTCTCTCTTTCTCCCTCTCTTTGGTGTTCTCTTCGATTCTCTATGGCGCTCTCTAAGCTTCTTGTTTGGAGGGCCTTGCATCTTTTGTGACCGTGCATATCACCGCTGTTATACAGGTGGCGAGGTTAGTGATGGGATGCGCTTGTTTCCCGTTAAAACCTGAATGAGGAGAAAGCATTCTGGTTTTGCTGATATTGCAGTTTCTCTGCTTTTATTCTGTTTTGCAAAATCGATTTCATTCTGGTTCTTCGAAATCATCCGCGCCAGGTTTATTTGCCTATTTTCTTTTGCATTCTTATTCCTTGAATCCATTTGGTTTTCTCACCCGCATTCTATGTTTCTTGATTGTGTCGTGTCTCGGAGTCCGGTAATGCGGTCACCGTTGGTCCGTTAAGAAAGCTCCCTATGTGTGTTCAATGAGTGTGCACGGTGCACCGAGCTGCTGCGAGTGTTTCCCCTTGAGCGTCCTTGTACGGTGGTGTGGGCATGGTCTTGATTGGACCAGTTTCCATCTAAAACCATTACCAAATCAATTACAATATCAAACCAAACTAAACCAGTGTAAAATAAAATCGTATAAATGAGAGCTCAAAATCATAACAAAACAATTCATTACAATTTAAATCGTTCAACTTTTTATTTCGACAAAATCAAATAAATCAGGCACCATAATTCAAATCGGCATTAGGTCGGGTTTACAAAAGCTCAAGATGATAACTAAACAATCCAAATCGGCGGGTTTGGTTGGATTGATGCCCGTTGCTGGTAGTAACGGATGCCACCTTTCCTTCTAAATGGCATTCGTCTGAAGGTTTGAACATCTAATGGCGTATCCCTTCCTCCATAAGACCTGGGTCCTAGGACTGACCAGTTGACCAGTTGATGATTTGCCGAAACGAGGTATAGCAGTAAATGCCTGCCAACTGTTTGATGATTTGCTCCTTAAAGAACTCTCTTGCTTAAATCGAGATACAATACTAGACCCAAGTTACTCTCTTACTATGATGTTCTTAAGGAGAGGAATCAAATTTGCTTCAGCACTATCTCCGCATTTCCTTTCAAGGGCTGCTCCCAACTTTTGCTGCAAGCCAACCACCACCACCATTATTCCCGTACCTGATCATTGGAGAAAGGCTTCCAATTACTTTAGTAGCTTTCATCTCTCTCCGTTGTTACCCTCGGATGATTCTAAACCTCATTCAGACAGTTATGGTGTTCAGCTTGTTGATGATGATGCGTGGCAGGTTTCGTCCGGGTTGGCATTGGCAGGGGGAGGAATGCAGGGGTCTGCATTGGACTCAAATGCGTTATCGGATGAAGTGGTTGATGAGCCAATTGACAGTTGCAGAGCAGCTGTTGAAGGTGATCCGGATTTTGATGACATTGACAACATGAGAATTCGCGGCAGTCTCTTCTTTAAGCTTGACCGAGATTCCAAGGAGTTTGAAGAGTACAATTTCGACTTCCATCGTAGGAAGAAGTCTTCTAAGCAAAAGGATGACCCAAAGGAAAGTCAAAGGAAGGGAAATGAGTTAAATGATAGCAAAAGAGACAACCCAAGTTGTGAATTGCTCTCCAGAAGCAAGAAGCAAACTAGAACTGTGGACGATTCTCCACTTGATGAATTGGACACTCCTGTTGGGAAGAAGAAGCTGAGGACTCTGACTTATAATCAGCTGACGGGTCCTTTCCATGAGCCGTTTTGCCTGGACATTTTTATATCAAAGGCTTCTGTTCGTGCGTGCATCATTCATCGAGTCACCAGTAAGGTTGTCGTTGTGGCACATTCCATATCAAAGGACATGAAATTTGACCTTGGTTCGACTAGGAATGCAGCTGCTTGTGCTGCTGTGGGGGAAATTCTCGCGCAGAGGGCATTAGATGATGATATCCATGATGTGATTTACACACCAAGGAAAGGGGAGAGATTGGAGGGTAAGCTTCAAATTGTGCTTCAGTCTATCATTGACAGTGGGATTCATGTGAAGGTGAAATTAAAGCAAATAAACAGGAAGAAACCTAGTTCCTCGTATGCAGCTTAGGAGCAGGTGGTTTCTTTTCTGATCAAGCCCTCCTAGTTGCAATCAGCGCCTTGATCATAATTTTTTGCTTGAAATTACCATGTTCTGATAGCTATCCTGGTGGTGAATTTGATTCATGGTATGAGTCAAAGAAGCTGGCTGAGACAATTTCAACAACGAAAACTCTCAGCTTGGGAATTGTAGACATCAAAATTTCGGTGAAATGAATGTTGATCAATAATTAAAATTTCAACGTTCACGTGTCACATAAATTTTACATGTAGCGTGTGATTCAACAAAAAATCGAAATAAATTGGAAAAGTCATCAAATATGACACGTGTCAATACCTGGCAGAAACGATTTATTTCATCTGATTATTTAAATCCAAAAATCAAGTTTTTGAATTCTATAAATATGAGGCCAAAGGCATTCATTTGAAGGGAGAAGGAAGGAAGGAAGGAAGGAGAAGGAGAAAGGAAAAGAAGAAAAGAAGGAAGGAAGGAAGAGAGGAAGGAAGGAAGGAAGAAAGGAAGGGAAATTGATATCACACCAAAACCTTCAAGCTTCGGAACTCTAAAGCTCTCAAGCAAATCCCGAAGGATCAAGAAAGCACTCTTCGTTCTTCGTCAAATCAACCTTCAAGATCAAGCCCCAACGGCCCTTGAAGAACTTCCACCAACTCAAGATCAAGCCCCGACGGCCCTTGAGGAAAGTGTTCATCGTTCATCATCCATCAACCTTCAAGATCAAGCCCCAACGGCCCTTGAAGAACTTCCACCAACTCAAGATCAAGCCCCGACGGCCCTTGAGGAAAGTGTTCATCATCCACACATCCGTTCATCCTTCAAGATTAAGCCCAGAAGCCCTTGAAGATCCGTTCATCCTAAGATCAAGCCCCAACGGCCCCTTTGGATCAACAACCTCAACAAATCCACACATCCGTTCATCCTTCAAGATTAAGCCCAGAAGCCCTTGAAGATCCGTTCATCCTAAGATCAAGCCCCAACGGCCCCTTTGGATCAACAACCTCAACAAATCCACACATCCGTTCATCCTTCAAGATTAAGCCCAAAAGTCCTTGAAGATCCGTTCATCCTTCAAGATCAAGCCCAACGCCCCTTGAAGATTCATTCATCAACTGTGCATCCTTAGATCAAGCCCCAACGGCCCTTTGGATCAACAACTCATCCACAAACCCACATCGTACGAAGATAGAATCAGAGGATCAAATTACAAAGAGATTGTAACCCCAAAATCATTAATACCAAAAAAATATATTTTGTACACGTATTCTTGTCGCTTGTTTCAGGAATTATTCGTGTTTACAAATTTGGCACGCCCGGTGGGATAATCTCTACCTCTCATCTCTATCCTCAAATCATCAAAAAACGCAAATGGCATCAAGAAAGGATCAAGCTGTTCCTGCAGTCAAAGCGAAGAACAAGAACATTATCGCCGCAACTGGTGATATTTTGGGCATCACAACCCGAAGTGAAGCAAGAGCTCTTTTTGCCGCGGCTTCCGCCCCTGCATTAACTCTGTCAAAGGAACAAGAGCACCTGAGGCACGATCCTGTGATCACCCTAGCCTCGCTAAGGGCATCAAGAGGGGAAAGCCTGAGGAAATACTCAGAGTCCCTACCCTCCGACGCTGATTCGAGCGGCAGTACAACCATGCAAGTCATGACCACTGGAGCAACTTCAATCGAGGAGCAACTAGCTCAGATGAATGAAGCAATCACAAAGCTCACACGGACTGCAGAGGAGAAAAACTTGCAAACCGCCGGACTCATCAACCGTCTGGAGGCACAGCATGGCGTCAAAATGAAACCAAGCTCTCTTCCAACTAAGAAGACCGAAGAAGGCTTTAACCCAAATGCCTACGAACCCATGTCAAAGGCTAGGCATGACTTTGCTTCCTCTTCAAATCTTGGAAAGAAGGTTTCAAACACCGTCGATGACAAAGAACTTAACCTCACCAAAACTCAAAAGAAGTTGAAGGAGCATGGTTACGGAGTTGACAACAACAAAGCCGGACTTGGCTTCACACCAAATGCACCCGTGAAGATTTCAAGCAAAGTGAAGAAAGCTAGCGCTCAACACATCAGCGTGAGCATTGAACAAGACCAAAAGGAGCCTAAACCCGCCCCTCGGCCGTCGGTCTTCGATAGGATGAGCCATTCAAGCTCCAGAATTTCAGCGCTTAATCGCATTGGTAGTCAAGGCCGAACCTCTGTCTTCAAGAGGCTTAGCGTGCCAACATCCCAAAGCTCTGTTTTTGAAAGGTTGTTAAAGCCTAAGAAACAAAGCAACACAGCTATCTCTCCTCTGCGACCATCAGCTTCGGAAAGATTTGAAGATAATGAGAAGCCTTTTGGAAAGAGGAAGACAACACCAAAGGAAGAAAAGCTCGATGGGTTAGCAGAAAAAGGCGACGTTCAAAGCTTAATTCCTTCAAGGATGAAGCGCCAAGCAATCCTAGAGGTCGACACAAAAGGACCACTGAAGGTAAGGAGGCGCATCGTCGTCCACACTGGCAAATCTTCATGCCAACAAACCCAAGAGGACGGCACTGAAGATGAAATCCCTAAGAAAGATGTCACTTCTGGCTCTTTCGACTCAAAGTCTTCACCTCGACTGTTGGGGGCATGCTCCAAGTCAAGTGAAATTGAAGGATGGACTCATGTCGCTTCGAAGAAACTGCACGAGAAACATATGTCTTCTCCACAAGTGCACCAATCAGAAAGGGGGGAAAGCAGCTTTTGCCAACCTCCAAAGCAATGTGAAAATGTTGAAGATAAGAAAATTTCAACACAAAGATCGTTCATGCGGGATCTTTTCTTCCTCGAAGACTTATTCAATTTCTCGATCAAGACTCCTTGCTATGAAGATTGTGAGGAATGTCTTTCGAAGATCGCTGCGAAGAAATTGGACAAGCAGCAACCATCTTGTCCACAAGTTTATCAGTCGAAAAGGGGGCAAAACAGCTCTTGTCAACCTCCAGAACAATGTGAAAGTGTTGGAGATAATGAAATTTCGACACAAAGATCGTCCATCCCCATCACAATGTGCGACCTCTTCCCAGAAGACTTCTTCAATTACTCGGTCAAGGCTCCTTCCTATGAAGATTGCGAGGAACGCCTCTCCCAGATCACTTGACAAATCCACAACAACAACCAAAGCTCCTCGTTCGCACGAGCCTAAAAGGCGACAACCAAAGCTCCTCGTTCGCACGAGCCTAAAAGGCGACAACCAAAGCTCCTCGTTCGCACGAGCCTAAAAGGCGACAACCAAAGCTCCTTGTCCGCACGAGCATAAAAGGCGACAACAAACGCTCCTTGCCTACACGAGCTGAAACTGCAAACGCACCACGCTCCTGGCCCGCAAGAGCATAAACTGTGTACGGCAAAATCATCATCAAAATCATCATCAAAATCATCATCAAAACCATCGCTCATTTGAACTACGTTATGACTTGATCTCTTCTTTGGAAGAGTACGTAGGCAACTTGAAATTTCAAAACTTCAAGTACAGTCACATCAAAATAAATAAATAAATGTTTCATTAAAGAAAGTCAATTTTATTACAAAAGAAAAGAAAAGAAAAAAAAATACATATGTTACTATATATTCTCTACTCAAAAAAAAAAAAAAAAAATACATATGTTACTATATATATATATTCTCTACTAAAAAATAAAAAAATAAAAAAAAATAAAAGAATAAAAAATAAAAAATAAAAAAAAATTATACATGTTAAAGTGGGCCTACAAGACCCATGGCAATTCAAAGAAACGGAAGTTGAAGTCCACAAACAAAGGAGCAGCCCAAATCCAGGCCCAGTGCCATCATCATCCCCAGCTCGCTCGAGCAGCCGGATTACACTAGCCCACCATATAGCAGAAGCCCAGTAAAAGTTCAAAGAAGCATAAGCAGAAGTCCAGTCATAGTTTCTCGAAGGAGAGCAATCAGAAGCCCTGCAAGGGTCTCTAGAAGCAGAAGCCCAGTTAGATCTTCTCGAAAGAGTGCAAGTAGAAGTTCAGGTAGGGTTCCTTCTAGGAAAACTGCTAGCCGCAGTCTATTGAGGGTCGCTAGCAGGAATAACCATCAAAACTTACGGTATCTGGACGATCATGGGATCGGCTTGCTGTGTTGCTGCAAAGAAAAGAACCCACCCAAATCGAAGTGAAGAATGCCATTCATTCACCATCATGGAGTTTTCAGTGGGATAATCGTCGGCGTGTCGCTGGTGAAATTGATACACCATATCAAGTCTCTGATGGAATCAGTACTAATGATAGCATGAAGTTAAAAGGTGCATTAAGTTCTGAAAGGGGTAATTTCTCAGATCTGGGAAGCCCGCTGGAGAATTTTGGAACATCCATATCTCAAAAGTCCTCTGTTCATGGAGGAACAGGTAAAAAATCTGAGGAGTCCATCTCCAGATCTAACCATTACAAGAAATTATTCTCCAGACCCGGATTTTTCCCCGAATTCCCAAATCGTCTCCCAACTTCCATTCCGCCTCTGACTCCGCCTTCCTTTGCTCCCGCTGCGATGCCCGCGTCCACCAGGCCGACATCCACGTGCACCACTGCAAGCCCGCCGGCAACACCAACATCGCCTCCAGCCCCACCCACGTTGGCTGGCGCGGCAAATCGGACGGCGACGGCATTTCCCTCTTCGGCGCTCGCAAAATCTGGATCGACCACTGCTTCCTCTCGTTCTGCAACGGCCGGACCGATAACGCCATAAAGAACCACTGGAACTCCACGCTCAAAAGCTCCTCCATGTCGGAAGATTTGAGCTCCGACGTCCAGGCCCACCTCCGCCCTCTACAAATCTTCGCCGCCGCGGCCAACTGTAGCAACTGCTAGTTCTGAAACCGCTGCAGCCAATCTCGCCGCCACGTGCCTCACTCCCTCCGACGCCCAGAGCGCCCGATCCCAGCTCCCCGGCCTGTTCCTCGACCCCACCGCATGACACCGTCCACTACAACCCGTCGGATCTCTCCGGGTGGGTCCAGAGCATGCTCTCTGAGCTCAACACAGGCGACGATATACCTCAATCGACGACCCTCTTCTCTTTCTGTTATTTCCACATCAATACCGACAAGGACAAAGAGGTATAAGTCCCCTGCTCTAAGTACTCGTCGCAATCTTCAGGGTTATGAAATCAATGGCCGGCAATTACGA